AAGTGGCTTCTGAGCAGCCGCCCTCCGCTCCGTTGCTGCAGGTGGCTGGGGCTCTGGGGGCAGAAGCGGGGCTGGAGACGTGCATGCTGCCGGTTTAACTCAGAGAGCGGCTGCCCACCCAGGAGGCGACCCCGCTCTGAGTCCTGAAATAAATATTGACGTTCAAACAAGCCAGCCAGGGTCGAACAATGCAGTTGCTGCTGTCTTTCTGCATGGTTGGAAGCAGTTCCTTCTGCTGGTGATTTGGGGACCATCGCAGGCTCTTAGCCCAGCTGCAGGGCCGGCGTCAGCAACCCGCATCTCCACCAGCTGCAGCTAGGCCTGGGGACTGTTCCTGGAGGCTCCTGCAGAAAATCCTGCCTCTTTTCGGGAAGAGGGAAGCCTGACGAAGCTCACTTATGTGATGGACTTCGGGTTTAATGGGTCCCTGGTTTTCGTCTACTGTCGTTCCAGCTTTATTTTTCCCCCTGAAACTAGTGCGAACAGGAAGCTGCCTGGGTCCTGAGTTGGGGCCTGCTGCTGTGAAGCCATTTCCTCTGATACCCGGAGAAGAAACGGGGCAGGGGATGGAAGAGAGGCGCAAACGACTGGGTGTGATTGGGCACGATTCTTTTTCGTAGAAATCTGAGGTGGAGAGGCTTAGCCATGCCCCTGCAACCTTGCTCCCAGGTCATAGTGAAAGCCAGGCTCACACCAAATTGCCCCACACGCGCAGACGTGTATGAAGCAAATGCGCTGACGAGCAGCCACAAAGTGGTGCATCTGAGGCTGTTCGGTGGCTCAGGGAAGTCCCTCTCGTCTGCGCTGTTGGGAGTGTCCATCACCAGCTTGCCTGGAAGGTGGGCTTGAGGGAAGCGTCTCAGCTTGCCAGGGCCTGGTTCTGGTGGCCTCAGGCAACCCAGAAATCCTCCAAATCAGTGTCTGGACACAGGACGATTTGGAGACCCAGCCTTGCAGGCCATCCCCAAGAACATGCGGGCTAAGGGCTTTGCTGGCCGTATGCCCTAGTCATTCGAGGGTGGGGAGCACTAAGATATTTGAGCCAGGTGACAGATCTTGAATACCGCTAACATCACCCACAAATACCCATTTCTCTCATTCATCATGCTCAGGGAGAAACTGGTAATTTCACCTTTTTTTCCCGCATATTGGCCATACTAATGAGCATGCCTGGGGCATCCATGGAGACACAGTAGCAGATGTCCTGGGGCAGCTTCCTCTGGAGCGCAGGCTTCCTCACGTGTATCCTGACCACCCTGGAGTGGGGTCCTCAGTTATGGCAATGGATGGCTGCAGAGCAGAAGTTCAGCTGCCCGGGACATACACCGTCCATCCCGAAAGATTGTAAATTGTGGGTCCCAGATCCCCCAAGCCCTTGTGGGGACCATCCTGTGTGTGGTGGACTTAGGAGGACACAGCTGGAGGCCATCCACAGGGCCACGAGGGCCGTCCAGCCCAACCTGACCTGTGTGGGGAAGGCTACCCCATCTTCAGCTGAAGCAGAGGCACAAAATGGCAGCCCACAGCCGTGTCCGTCTGGAGATGGGCCTTGTCACCAGACTGTTTATAAGCCTTTGAAATACTTGCAACATTTAACACTGAGAGATTTTACGTTCAAATGAAGATTCCTGCTTCTCCCGGGAACCTGGCAGGTTTGCCCATGATGGGTCTGGATGCATGCTGAGAAGTAGATGCCCCTCTAGACAGAACATACTCGCCTGGGTTACCGTGTGCCCCAGTCTCCTGGGTTTGCCCTGCTCCCCTTCTCTCCTTTTCCTTCCCCACTGCCTCTGTGGACATCCACTTTGCCCTGATGGTTTGACATTGGCTCCAAACCTGCCTGCCCCCAGGACCCTCCCCCCGTCATCATGGCACAACGTGAGCGAGCTGCTCAGAACCGACATGCGTTTCTACCGGCAACTCCTGTGCCAGCTGCTGGAAATGGACGTCACAGTCCCCATCTGTGAAGAGGACCCTGGAACAAAGACACGTTCCCTGGAAGGAGGGAGTGACTGGGGGGGGGCCCTCAGGGAGCTCAGGTCCCGGGCCCTGCCAGCAGTGGGTACCAAGGACATCCAGTAGTAACAGGTGGAATGTGCTGCCGTCTAGCCACCTGTCCGTGACTCCTGGCCTCTCTCCCCGGTCACGACTGAGAGTCCTGCAGGGCCTGGCGGGGAGCAGGCCATCCATCCTCCTGCCTCTCTGTGCTCCACCCACCTCCTCCCCCAGCAACTCAGGTCCGGCAGCTGAGCCTGTGGGCTCTGCTTCAGAGGTGTGTCCGTTCCCTAGCCCGGTCCAGGCTCACTGAGGCTCGGCTGCACTTCATCTGGCCTGATGTCTCCCGCACCAGCCACTCACGCACCACCTCCGTGAATTTTATCGTAGCTGCAGCCACCTCTGTTATTATTTCATATTTTATTTACATCTGTTCGCTTTTAAAAAATTTTTACTTTGAAATAATTTTAGATTCACGAGAAGTTACACAAAAAACACAGATGGCTCCTGTGCACCCGTCGCTCAGTGTCTTAGCTGACAATAGTCCGCTGTCGAAACCAGGAAGCCGACGAGGAGCCACACTCCAGACCTCGTTTGGGTTTCCCCAGTTTTCACACTCACTTGTGTTTTTTCCTTTGGCGTAGAGCTCTGTGGGATTTAATTGCACGTGTAGGCTCATGTGACCGCAGTCAGGAATACAGGTGGCGTCATCACCCCAAAGATGCACCTTCGTTACCTGTTAATAGTCACACCTCCAGCAGCCCAGCCCTGACAGGTGTTCTCCTTCACGGTGATGTTGTCATCTCAAGAATGTTACTTAAGTGAAAAGTCAGTCTGCTTTTTAGTTGGGTCATTTTTCACGTGCAGGTGGTATCAAGGTTTGATGTGCCATTGCATTGTCCTGCTGCACAATGAAATGAATACGTGGCCCTCAAAACAGCGTTTGCATTCTTCACAAACCACCTGCGTCCTCGCACCCCACCGTTGCACCTGCTGCAATGCGGATGACCCACCTGAGCTCTTCTAATGCCCTCCTTGCCCGAGGCCGGGTAGTTGGCAGCTGTTCCACATCTGAAGACCCTGCCTGTGCCCCAAGGGCCTACAGCTCTGCCCTGGGGCACACTCACGACTTGGGGCTGAGCGGGGAACGCCAGAGCCCTTGGTCTCGAGGCTCGTGATGTCACCATCCTGCTCTGGGGTCAGAGCTGCTCCCTGGGCGCGTGCGTCTCCCCGACAGAGCAGGCTCAGGCAGGAGGCCGATGCGGCCTTCTCCACATTCACCACCTGGGCCTGGGGTGCCCCATTCAGTTCTCTGCCTTCCTCAGGGCAGACAGCTCTCACACCAAGCTCATTCAGCTTTTTAAAAGTAGAATCCTGCTGATTTTTTCAAGAATGAAGAAATTAATTACAGGTTTGGGATTTGTTAGGTTTATTTTTAGAAATCCGTGATCTCAAACATAAATAGCACTTCGTTCTGGACTAAGGAGCTGAAAAGCTTAATGCCCGCGTGGGGGAGAAGGGTGGAGGGGAGGCGGAGGACACAGAAGGCGGGGAAGGAGGGGGGCCTATTGCCGAGCCCGTGAGTCGGGTTGAGGGCCCGTCTGTCCCGGTCCCTGCTCTTCCCGAATCCCAGCCTGCACAGCTGTATTAAACTAAACCTCTACTGAGCGCTGACTCGGTAGCAGATACAGCAGGAAAGACGCAGACATGAATTCTGCCCTCACAGAGCTGACATGTTAGCGGGAGAAGCCAGACAACACACAAAACTAATAATACAGCCAATGGGATTTTCCGTTTACCATCGAGTGAGGAGCGGAGACAAGGCGGGACTCCGTGCACACGAAACCAGCCACCACCATGAGGACATGAAGCCTGCAAGTCAGGGGTCCCCTCTTTTCACTGATTGACATTTATCGACGACTTACTGTGTGCCTGGTTCTGTGCAAAGTATTGAGAGAGTACCAGGGAACCAGACAGCAAAGGCTTGGAGCTTACCATCCAGTCCTGCAGGCTGATGAGAAATAATCAGGGGCTAGTGTAACATCGGGGGTGGAAAGCACCGTGAAGAGAACACCATAGAGTGAAGAGACAGAGGGACCCTCAATACGTCCCCCTGGATGCGGGCGCCCGCCTGTGGGCCAGTGCCTGACACGCTCGTCATGGGAGACAAAGGCTTGCTCCTGCACCGGGCGGGGGGCGGGGGGTTGTGGTCCCTGAGTGTCCGGGGAGGAGAGAGAGGGGCTCGCTCATGCCCACCCAATCTGAGAACCAGCCAGGGAAGGAGCCGCAAAGACAGGAGGGAGCTGGCCGGGCTACTCCCTCCCTGACACGTGTCCCCAAGGGAGGCTTCCCTCTCCCCAGAGCGCCCGAGATGCCTCTGGGTTCTGCAGATGGCAGCAGTGGTGCTGACCAAATCCAGCAGATGGAAGTTTGCTGTCATTGCTAAAGCGGTGATCCTTGGGGCTCTGCAGCACCAGGGGCGGGTGCCCCTGGAGAAAAATGCACCGTGGGTTAGCAACTGAGCCGTTCCCCCAAGTCCGGGCTGTGTCACGGCCTCGTGCTCCAAATTTGAAACAGCTATGGCGAGGCGTGCCAACCACAAAGTGCCCGGCTGCACGCAGAGCCCAGCACAATCCGCGGCTGGCTGGGATCTGCGTGTTTGCAGGATTCTTGGCACCAGTGGTTTCCCACGCGCACCCTGGGAGAGAACTCGGCCACCCGCCAGCTGCACCGGCGCTTGTGTTATCACTGTTCTCCCTGGAGGTAGGAGGCAGCCCCCGCCACAGACACACACACATGTTTGCACTCACTACACATGTGCACACACACACATACACACAACACACATTCATGTGCACACATATGCATACGTATAATGCCCACTCACATTCACACACACATACACAGCACACATGCATGCACACACCACACACTCTCACAGTCACACACATGTCCCCACCACACGGTGCGCCAAGGTGACACATGTCCCTGCCTCTCCCATGCAGAGCAAGGTGCGAGAGCTGGAGGAGAAATGCCGGACGCAGAGTGAGCAGTTCAGCCTGCTGTCCCGGGACCTGGAAAAGTTCCGGCAGCACGCGGGCAAGATCGACCTGCTGGGCGGCAGCTCTGTGGCCTCCTTGGATGTCCCCACGTCCCCCAGCAAGCCTTTCCCGCCGTACATGAACGGACTAGCCCCCTCCATCAGCAAAGGTAAGCGCCTGTCCCGGCCTCGGCTGCAGTGGAGAAGGGGCGGCCAGCGAGCTGCGCAGGAGCTTATGCACAGCTAGTGTGTCTGATGGCACCTTCTTATGGTACCTGGGGAGAGTGGGCCACCACCGTGGGACTGCGGACGCCAGCAAGGCCAGCCAACGGGACTTGTCGGTTCCGACAAAGGCAGCCGTGGTAACGGCGGGGCGTTGTAATGCTTCCCCGTCACATTTGTGTTTGGGAGGCAGAGTGGGGAGCAGGAAGTCTCACTCTGCGTGACGCGGGGGGTGATTTTTGTCTTAGTTGCAGGCAGGCTGATCAGAGAGGCATCTAACTAACCTTCCAGTCCAGGCGCGGCGGAGTTCTCCAATCAGCCTGGGAGCATCCTCCTGCTGGAGGTTAACCCGACACACAGGTTAATGGAATGCAGGCCCGCGTATATCTATCTGTTTAAAAAGTTGATTTTCTAAAAAAATTTAGGGGAGATGAGTGTCTGAACCCCATTTTGGAATTCCACAAAAGAGAGAGAACTTCCCCATTTCTCCGAGTTCTTATCAGACATGTGATAAGTTCTTTTTGGTGCTTTTTGTTATTGAAACGATGTATGCAGCTCATATCTTGATAAAACCCCCTTCAGTATCATTAGTGGCCTGTAGTTTCCCTTCCTGTTCAGGCATTAGCTGGAGCGCTAAGTGGCTATGTAAACCAGACGGAGGGACAAGAAGTTCTGACCATCCCCCCACACGTCTGAGCACACAGGGCAGCCAGGCCGTGTTCACGGTGTCGAGGCTGCCGTGCTAACCAGATGGCTAGGCCCACGAGGAGCCTCCTGTCATGGGCGGAGACAGACAAGAAGCAAGTGGACAGACGAATGACCAGGGGGCCTCCCACCAGGCACAGGCGTGAGGACAGGGTGGTAAGATCGAAAGTGACCAGCGCAGCTTACCTGTGGTGGCCAGGGAGGGCCGCTTCTGGGAAACGATGTTTGAGCTGTGAACCCTGACAGGTGAGAAGAGATAAGACAGTTTACATTCTTACCGGAGGAAAAAGGAGTTTTTGGTTGGGTGGTCCTACAGGGTTGGCCAGTGCATGTTTCTCAGGGTCCCCAAGCCCCGCACACACCCGGTGAGTCCAGGACTCAGCATACACTTGAGCTCCTGGCTCAGTCTGTTACAGAGACACTGGACCGGTACCCAGTGAGAGCATGAGGGAAGAGACGGGGTGTCTGGAGGAATCCATGTGCAAGCATGCTATGCTGTCTGCCTCCCGCAAGGGCCACACAGAGCACCCTCCTCACAGTGAAAAATGCAGCCGCGAGTGTGGGGTGCCCGTTAGAAACGTGGAGCCCAGGGTGTTACTGGGGGCTGGTCACATAGGCACCTCTGCCCGGCATGTGCCAGAATCCCGGACTGCCAGAAGGAAGGCAGAGGCTCGGCAAAACCACATTGTGAATGCAGCCTAGTTACAGTGAAACCCCTCATCGGTTAGGGAGCATTGTAGAAGCTGAGTTCCCGGACTCAGCCCTTCTAAAGACAGCAGCCTCGGGCCTGCTATGTGAACTCTCTTCTGCGAGGCACGTCAGTGTTCTTCTGGGGAAAGCTCAGGGGTCAGTGGAGGGAGAGCAGAGATTTACCTGAGTGACTCAGTGTCGAGATCGACCTGGAAGAAGGGATCTGATTCATGACAGTGGAAAATGGACCCTGACTAAGAACCAAGCAAAACAGGACTGCGTCTCTGCCAAGCTGAGTGCTCAGGTCTCGGCAGAAGAACAGGTTTGTGCCAAGGCTTCCGTGTAGCCACTGGGAGGTCATCATCCTAACTGACCTAGCTCATTTAGTTAACTGTTGCCTCGCCCCACACTTGGCGCAAGGCCCCTGCACAGTTGGCGTCATCCTTACATCATCCTTGCTGTGCTGGCATCGCTTATCAGTCCTCGGGAAGAAGCCTATGAGAGAGCTTCCTCCGGCCATCCTGAGACCTCCCCAAGGTCCTTCCTGGACTGCACAGGGCAGGGATCCCTTTAACGGTGAGCGCCACCCGGGAGCTCAGGCGCTGGCTGGGCTTCCCTCTTTACACAGTCCGAGGGCAAGAGGCACAGGCAGGGCCAGCACAGGGCCGGAGAAGGCCCCGGGCGGATGTGTGCTCATGCCCTCAGCTCCCTCCTGCCTGAGGCCAGCTTGGCCCAGGGGCTGAGGAGGGCAATGAAGGGTTGATGGAGAGCCCCTGAGGGACTCGCGTTCTGTACAGTGGGGTCACATCTGAGAACAGACAAGGCAACAATTGCACACGGACAGAATTATCCCTGGGGTCTCCTGGGAAGGGAGCGTGTTGGGAAGAGGCACGCCACCTCCCAGAGCCACCGCCTGCACGGCTAGCTTTCCTTCCAGGATTGGAGCTGGTTTTGGTGAAGCACCAGACAAAGTCATTGGTTTGGGCTTAGCGGCCATATTTTCCAGAAAATATGTATCTTGAAGCAGTCGAATCACAAGAGTGCCATGTTCACTCCACGAGGGGCCTGTGGGAGCCAGCGCCACCTAAGGGCATGGCCTGTTTCTGCCTCTAACCTCATATCCACCCAGAGCAGGATGGCCGGGAAAACCCACCACACCAATGAATTATTTTCCTCTAGAGAACTGGATTGTGCAAGTTACATGTGAATGCGAGGGAACTCTGCTATATTCATTCACCTCTGTTGGTTACGTCATCCCACGCTGTTCACCAAGCTGTGTATCAGTCAGGAGGGGCCATGTTCTGCTGCAGTGACAAACACCCCCCAAATCTCAGGGGTTTAAACAGCCACATCTATGTCTCGATCATGCTCCATGTCCTTCTCAGTCTGGCTTAGGGACTTGGATCCACGTTGCCTTCCCTCGGCAAGGCTAGCAGACAGAGCCTCCTCTTTCTGGAATGTTCTGTTGCAGGGGAAAGGTAACAGCAATTGCACGCCAGCTCAAAAAAGCCTCTGCCCAAAGCGGGACACATCACTTCCACTCATGGGTCTGTGGCCAGGGCAAGCCTGAGCAGGGGTCTCTCTCCATCACTTGGAGAGATGAGAGCAAGTCAGGTCTGCAGCACTAGGAACCCTGCAACCAGGCTCTGTCCTAGGCTGGTCTTCTGAGGCTTCTGGGAGTCGACTCATTCAGTAAGTGTTTCCTCTGCACCTGCTGTAGGCCAAGGCCTGCTGTGGGCACTCGGGCTGTATGCAGTGACCAGAGCAAGACCCTGCTCTCTGAGATCTGACTGCCCAGCAGGGGACCCGGGCCTATTTCAGCATTGATTCTCTGTCTCAGTGGTGCATTCTCACTGTCCCCTTGGTCAGGCTGGAGCCGGGGGCTCTGTGGTAGGTGGCTTCTGCACAGCCATTGTTGGAACCCCTCCCACATTGTTTTGCATCATGTTTCAGTTCCTGATTTGGACTCAGTAAGTCGTGTTCTTCAGGGAGGCAACCCCGTGATGGGACAGTTACACCCAGGGAGGAGCATCTGCAGCCCACTGGGCTGGGAGCTCAGGGAAGGGAAAGAGCTGCTTCTGGGTTTCCCATCTCATCCTAAGGAGGGTGCCTGACTTCAGTCCGACAGTCGAGGCCAGCACTGGTCACATGCCCCATTCTCCCTCCAGGCGAGGGCAGGCCTAAGCGGCCCTCTCAACTCTGAGAGGAAGGGAGGGCAGAGAACTACTTTGGTCCTTATACGTCTCTTATAAGAAGTATTTTTAGCTATAAACCAGGCCCTTTGGCCACCCTGTGTATGAGTTAGGACTCTTGGTCATAAGTAACAGCAAAGCCAACCTAACGTGGTGTGAGTAAAAAGGAATTTATTTATCATATAAAGTAGATGAAGAGTAGGTGGGTTTAGCTTCAGGAACAGCTGGATTCAGGGCTCCAACCATGTCACCAGGATCCAGTTCCTCTCTCCATCTTATGGCTCCTTTTTCTATGAGCAGGCTCTATTCTTGGACAAAGTTTCCTCCTCCTGGTGGTAATATGGCTGCAGCATTACCGAGCCTCATAGCCTCTCACTTGTAAGTCAGGCAAGGGGAGATGCTCTTTGCCAATGACTCCCACTAAATTCCCTCTGATGGTACCTTCTCATCTCACGTGCAACCCCACCATCACCACCAAACAATTGTTATAGCCAGGAGTGGACTCTGCCAGATGGACTGCCCAGAGTGGAGGTGGGGTCAGACCAGCTTGTGTAGACAGATCAAGGCTTATGCCAACGAAGGCAAAAGGCACACTCAGAAGGCAAATGACCAGTGCGCTTTATTATTTTGTTTGTGTCTTTCTCACATTTTTTTGATACTCGTGGCCAGGTCAAGAGAGCTCTATTGGAAGCCGCGCTGCGATTGGTGAATATATCCGGCCCCTCCCGCTCCCCCGTGACAAGCCGGAGCCTCTGTCTGTCAAGCCCACCTTTCTGTCAAGATCCAGTAGCCCAAGATGCAGATTTGAGCCAGACGTGAGTCCTGTCCTGGCAGAGGGCCCACTGGCCTGTCTGTGCCATGATGTCTGGGGTGACATTGAGCATCCTCCCTCGTTCTTTCTTCCTCATCCTCTTCGTCTTTCTTCCTTCTCCCGGCTTCTTCCCTCACTCCCATTAATTCTCTCAACCAGTTTTCACGGACCACCTACCATGTGCTGCCCGATGTGAGGGCTCCCCATGAACAGACAGGTAAGGTCCCTGCTCTCATGGAGATGCTGTTCTCCTGGGGAGACAGATGATAAACAAGTCAACACTTAAAAAGTCAGGTAACAGCGAGTGTTGTGACGACGACACAAGCCAGTGACCCAGAGTGATGAGGCAGAGGCGAGGGCAGCCTTCCTCAGAACAGCCATTGGGCTACTTGTGTTGTGTTGTATCCATGAAGGAGCCCAGAAGAGGGCCATTGGGCTGGAGTGGAGCTGGGAGGAGTGGAGAGACGAGTTGAGGCCATAGGCCAAAGGGAAGCTCTTGATTTTTGTCTAAGCCCAGTGGGAAGCCACTGAAAGGTTTTAGGATGGAGTAACACGGTCTAATTCCACTCCGACTGCTGTGCAGAGTCTGGTATTATGAGTAGGGACGAGAGCAGAGACATTGCCTTCCTGTCTGGGGAAGGAACTCACACTCCTGCCCACATTCACTCCCACTCCTATGAGAAAAGACGACGCTTCCTCCTCCAGCCCCGTTGACCAACGATGGGCTTCTCCTTCACCCCCTCCTGACCCCAGAGATTGTCGTAGCTGGTGTAAGGAAACACGCACAGGCAGTCCTGGTGCTCCGCAGACTCCGGGACAGCAAAGAAGAGTAGGACGGAGGAAAGTGCACCCCATGTCACCTTCTCCACGCAGTCTTCCAGGATGTCCCAGTCCTGGAGCACAGTGCACTATCGGATGATCCGATGCGCTTCTGTCTCCCTCTCTGGACTGAGCCCCTCAAGGGCAGAGGGCACAAATTGTTGTCTGTCTTTGTGTCTTCCAAGGAGCCTAGCAGGGTCTGGCACTTGCCCTGGGTCTGGCTCGGTGAGCATCCCATGTCTTAAATTACATTGGGGAGGGTCCCCACCTTGAGTCCAATCTTGGTATGGGGAGACGAGTTCTTTATAAACATCCTTCTGTGTGACCAAGGAACCCACGCTGAGGGACCCGCTTTGTCTCTGGGCTCAGACCTAAGCCTGAGAATATGGGTGTAGCAGCGTCTCATGAGAGTTCCACCCTCTGAGGCCCTGAAGCCCAGTGAGACTGCGGAAGGGATTCCCTGTGTGTTTCTGGCATGAAGTGTGAAACCTACAGCTTCAGCAGCCCGCGTATCCACTTGTGTCTTTAACAGATGGATAATGAACGGAATTCCAATGCCTCCAAGCAGAGATACTCGGGAAAGGTCCACTTGTGTGTTGCCCGCTACAGGTGAGAGTGATGCTCCTCTCTGCACCTCCTGAGCACCCGTGAGCACAGGAGGCCTTGGGCACGGGAGGTGTTGCGTTGGGGAACCCTCCATTCGCTGAGGACGTCCCTTCTCCCAGGGCCTGGGAGCTGAGTGCTGGCTGCACCCCCACACAAGCCCATCACACTGTCCCTGGGGACACTGCCACAGTGCTGGGAAGACATGAGAGGCCACTGTCAGCGGGGCCTGAGGAGGGCTCAGTCCCGCCCCGTGTCTGAGAGGAGAGTGGTTCTTTCATTCTGTATGTGGGTGAGGATGGGGCACAGCTCTTCACCCGGAGCCCTCAATACTGCAAATTGGGCGACGGCTGGGATGCTGAGCTGGCCCATGTCGAGGTTGTTTCTCTAGCCAAGCTGGGGCCCGGTGAGCCGCACACCCTCCCTACCCCCCCCAGGAGCCTGGCGCCTCGGAGCTGCAGTGTGCAACGTGTGGGGCCACCTGCAGAATGCCCGCTGGCCTCCACTGCCTCCACTTTCGTAGAAAGGGAGGCTTATTCTGGGGACAGGTGCCCAAGAGCTAACGCACCTGAGGACGGAGTCCACAGGCGAGGAGCGAGCACAGTTCCCCACCGAGTTTATCCATGATACGCAGTCACACCAGCAGTGCGCCAACGTCTGCGTCCGTCCTTTGTTGGAGCTGTTTGTGTTTTCCCGGTGATGGTTTTAGGTTTATTCTTTTTACCACCCTTCCCCCCACCCAAACCAAACCAAACCAAACTGTGAGTAGCCCAGAATGCCAGTCCCAGAGAGAGCTGTGCACACCCCGGTCCTCTCAGTGCCCTTGGGCCCCCAGAGGAGTGGCTCTGAAGGTTAAAGTGGGAGTTTGGGTTTCCCCTGGGGCTAAACACTGTCATTGTTCCACAACCTGCTTAGACGTTTCCCCAAACTTAAAACCAGAGAAGCCTCGCCAGCCTCGCTTCCCCTCCGGCACCACGCCTCACTCTCTTCCCTCGAGGCTCTGCTTCCCGGCTATGCGCACAACCAGACGACCCTCGCTGACCCAGGCGCCCCACCCTTCTCCTCCAGCAGCTTTACTGAGATATAATTCACACACTGTACAGTTCACGCATCTGCCGCGTGCTGTTTCATGGGCTTGAGCGTATTCTCAGATGTGTGCCGCCGTGGCCACCGTCGAGTTTAGAATGTCTCCATCACCTCAGCAAGAACCCCGTCCCCTCCAGCTGTCGCCCCCGTCCCCTCGATCCCCACCCGCCCTGGACAACCGCTGGGCTGTTCCTGAAGTTTCCCTATTCTGGACACTTCCTGCATCTTTCGTTTCTGGAGTCTTGAGCTCAGCACTGCGCATCAAGCCCCACCCGTGGCCTGTGTCAGGGTCCCCTTCCTTTTTATATACAGACAGCAGTGCTCTGCGCAGACAGACCCCGTCCGTTACCCGCTCATCCCCGGTGGATGGTCATTTTCTCTGACCTCCACACCCCCTCAGCTCCCACCGTGCTCCTCTCACCTCTGGCCTCTTCGAGCCTCTCTTTCACCAGCTGAGACTCCCCTTCCTGAGAGCTGAATGTGGGCTTTCCTGAAGCCGGGGCCCATCTCCTGTCTTCTCCCTCCCTCCTCCCACCTCAGGTGGACTCTTCATCTGCACACCGACCACTCCAGTCCCTGTCTCCAGCCCATGTCCTCTCTGAGCTCATGTAGTCACCACCTAATCCACGTAAGACATCCAGAGTGAACACTTGGTCTCCGTCCTCCGTGCACCCAGTGGCCCTCCCAGGGACCCCCACTCAGCAATTGTATCCGCATCTGCTCACCCCAAGGCCAGAAAGCTTAGAGTCATCCTGGACCCCGGACCCTCACTCCTTGTGTCCAAACAATCCCCATTTCCGTCACCCCCTTTTAATTAGAAAATCCAAAACTCGTCTAACAAAAGTTTTATTTGCAAGTTGGACATGACTTTAAAAAATGTTAATTCCTCAATTGAGGATTTGAGAATGTGGGCACTTTTATACTCCTGGAGGAGAAGAAGGTAAAGTGGCGCATCCATTTTTCAGGGCATTTTGGCAGTACATACAAATATACTTCCTAGGGATTTATCTCTAGGAAGAAAGTGTGGATGTGTGCAAAGATATATTTATAAGAATATATGATGCAACACTGATTATATTAGCCAAAATCTAGAAGCAACATCAATGCCTAACACTAGGAAATTGGTTAAATAAAGTATGCTAACCTGTTCAGTGGAATATTACACATCCCTTAAAAAGGATATGATAGAATATTTCATGAGGTGGAAGGATAGTCCTGCCATCTTGCAAAGTGTAAAAAATAAGCAGATTGCTAAATAGTATATGTAACATGATTCTACCTTTGCTAAATAATATATATCAAAAGACCAGAGGGTTAATTTCTTACTTACTTAGTAATTTGGAAATTTATAGTTATGGCAGAAGTGACAGGTGTGAACAGAAATATCGGAATTATAAACGTGTCATCTGATACGAAGGGCTCTGAGCTTTCGATGTGGTTTCAGAATTAACTTTTTGTTTTAAATCTATGAGCAGGGCAACAATGGCCTGAATTCTCCGTGTACAGAGGACTCATTGCACTGAGCCGTCATGTGGGTCTGTAGTTTGCCAGGAAGAGGAGACAGAAGCATCGTGGCAGCCTGCACTCTGCAGGGAGGGGCCAGGACCCCTCTCCATCCAGGGCATCCACTGAATGAGTCTCCTTTCTCCCCCCAGCTACAACCCCTTTGATGGGCCCAATGAGAACCCGGAAGCTGAGCTGCCCCTCACGGCAGGGAAATACCTCTACGTCTATGGAGACATGGATGAGGACGGCTTCTACGAAGGTGTGTTAGGATGTGGGCCCGTCGGCGCACAGGGGCCCAGTCCACCCCAGGCAATTTGTCCGGGGCCCTGATAGACCGGCCAGGTTCCCAAATCGCTCCTGGCTGCCCCAGTCCTCTCCTCTGACCCTCCCGCTCTCCAGAGTTACCAGTTTCCCCTTTCTGAGATTGAGTGGGATTCCCTATTTTTAACTCCAAGTAGACCTTTGCCACTCGGGGGATATTTTATAATGTTAGTCTCGGCAGGGCTTCCTGGGCACACGGGGCTGATGGATCCTCTTGTTCCCAAAAAGTCTCTCTTCCCTCTTCCATCTTCTGCCCCAGCATCCTCGGGTCTCCCAGTAGACGTCTTCTGTGGCAGGGCCAGGGCGCCTTCCAGGTGGCCTCTCCTGGCTCAGCACCATCCCATTGACCTTGAGCTTCCATTGTTCGCTTAGGGTGGTCTGGCCCACATCCTCCCAGGGCCCCTCCCACAGTTTGAAATCAGGAAATGTAAACTCCTCTGCCTGAAATGCCTGACCTTCTGTCACCTTTTTAGCTTGAGGATGATCATGTGACAGCGCCAGCAGCTTCATAAATCAAGATCCCTGAGCCCCCAAAACTTCTCCATCGCCTTGTACACAGTAGGCTCTTGGTTTCTTCCTGGTTCACCTGCGTGGAGGACTATTTCCTGCTAAACTAGCAGGTTTCTCTCTCACGACCTCGTGGACAGAGGCCCTCAGCTCTTGTCCTGGGTGCTCATTGGCGTGACGTCAGGCTGCCTCCATTGATGCTCAGGAGCCTGTGGGCGGCATCATTTCTTGTCGGTTCTCGGGAGCACAGTCGTGGATCCTCCACCCCAGAAATTTCACCACGATTGGTGGCAAAAGAGTTTGAACTCTTAACATAAATTCACGTTACTTTCACTGGTTTTCACACCAATGTAGAAATATGGGACCAAGGCGGCTGCCAGAAAACCCTTGCTGGAAATCTCCGGAACATTCACACCAGGCTTCATGCCACATAAACCTCCCAGAGGCCTGATCACAAGCAGGCTGCCATGCTCAGGGTCCCATCATCTGTGTGATAGTGGGAAGCTTTGCTTCACTGCCCTGTGCCTCAGTTTCCCCAGCTGTAGATGGACATAGTAGTAGTTCCCACCTTGTGGGGTGGCTGTGAGGATAAATGAGGTCATAGGTGTGAAGAGGTCAGAAGAGGGCTTGGTATACAGTAGTTGTTCAATAAATGTTAGTCATCACATCATCATCACCAGCATCTCCCCTTGTGTGGAAAGGAGGCTGTATTTATAGGACACCTTCCAGGCAGAGTCAGTCTCAGGACCCTCGCCCTCCATGGGCTCAGGAGCAGAGTCAGAGGCCTTGTTTATTCTGGTTGAACCCAGGACGGGTTAAATGGCCGCATGCACTCCCCCAGGCCAGTTGCATGTCCTGAGTCGAGGGTCTGTTGAGAGCAGCCCCCAGTGCTCAGCTCTTCCCAGCCTCCGTGGGTCCCTTGGCCTCCATGGAGCCGTTTGCCTGCGGACACTCTGTGATGTGTGGGAGCAGATGGCCCTTCCTGCTGGTGCTGGAAGGTTATCCAAACAGCGTCATCTTTGAAGCTCCTCAAAGTGCTCCTCAGTTTCCCGGGCGTCTGCTTTTGAGCCCCACTAATAGAGCGAATACACAGAAGCTAGGCCATTTCACGAAATATAAAGGGGTCCCCACCATGACCGCCCGTAGCCACGAGAGCTAGCCTGATGGCATCTTTTTGCCACTTAACCTACAGGTGGTTCTGGCACCAAATTGATAGTCTTGTCTCACCCCCGGTGGACACGTCGGGAATTTCATTAAGATGGACATAGCTTTGCAAGAGGAAAGTCCCCTTTAATTCCTATTCGCATGATTGCTCAACCAAAATTAAGAGTGAGATGTCTATTTTTCTAACCTCCAAAACCCACCTATTTTACGTGTTTGTTCGTCCTTCCATCAAACCCTAACCGAGCACCTGCCATGTACCATGTGTCCCTCTAGGACGTTCAGTGTGGTGACAAATCTCCCTGCCCCGAGGGGCATTGCCCCAGGTAGAAGGGGCTCATCACCACACGCAGATAGATGAACGGAAGTTTCAGATTGCGATAAGCACAGTGGAGAAAACCAGGCAGACTAATGGGGGGTAGCAGATGGCAAGGTTGGGTTGTGGGTGGTGGGGCTGGGGTCCTGAGGAGGTGATGTGTGAACAGATTCCTGTAAAGAGCCGAGGAATCTCACCGAAGCCCTGTTGCTTTACCGGATGGCTCCATCAGGGAGAGATCCAGAGTCGGCTGCAGGACTCAGGGCCTGAGGAGATGGTCAGAGGATAACGCTGCCCTTGTACCCAACAGGCGAACTCCTGGATGGGCAGAGGGGTCTGGTACCCTCCAACTTTGTGGATTTTGTCCAGGACAACGAGTCGCGACTGGCAAGTGCACTGGGAAATGAACAGGATCAGAATTTCATCAACCATTCCAGCTTCGGCGTGGAGGGGGAGAGCATCCTTGACCTCCACTCCCCCACTCAGACAGACACCGGCATAACCGACAATGGCGCGGGGACGCTGGACATGAACATTGATGACATTGGAGAAGACATCGTGCCTTACCCTAGAAAAATCACCCTTATCAAACAACTTGCCAAAAGTGTCATTGTGGGCTGGGAGCCCCCGGCAGTGCCCCCGGGATGGGGGACGGTGAGCAGCTACAACGTGCTGGTGGACAAGGAGACGCGCCTGAGCCTCACGCTAGGCGGCAGAACTAAGGCCCTCATCGAGAAGCTCAACATGGCGGCCTGCACCTACCGCATCTCCGTGCAGTGCATGACCAGCAGGGGCAGCTCGGACGAGCTGCAGTGCACGCTGCTGGTGGGCAAGGATGTGGTGGTGGCCCCTTCCCACCTGCGGGTGGACAACATCACGCAGATCTCCGCCCAGCTCTCCTGGCTGCCCACCAACAGCAACTACAGCCATGTGATCTTCCTCAACGAGGAGGAGTTTGACATCGTCAAGGCTGCGCGGTACAAGTACCAGTTCTTTAATCTCAGACCCAACATGGCCTACAAGGTGAAGGTTCTGGCCAAACCCCACCAGATGCCGTGGCAGCTGCCCCTGGAGCAGCGGGAGAAGCAGGAGGCCTTCGTGGAGTTCTCCACGTTGCCTGCAGGTGAGCCTGTCCATCCATGGGGTCCCCCCAAGGGGGACGAGGCCGGATGTCACCCTGTACAACGGGAGGGGCCGGGGGAGGGAGCAGAGGGGAAAACTGCATGCAACCACCATTTTCCTGGAAAATGCCTTAAATCACCCAGGAAGCCCGGAACATGGGCGTGTGTGCGTATGTGTGTGTGTGCGTGTGTGTGTGAGACAGAAGGAATACTTGGGATTTGTTTAGGGGCCATGTTGTTGAAAATGTTTCTTTTCATGCTTGCATTTGCAAGAGGCTCAGTCCTACAAAGACAGGAGGAAATTGAGACCATCCTAGGGGACAGGCATTCCTCTTCCTTGCAGCATCCTCTCCCGGCACGTGCTCGTTGAGTGCCCACACTCCTCTCAGAATTGCTCTTTCTCTCTCTCACATGTGGGTGAACTTGAGGAGAAGACAGGGAGTCCCACTGTTGGCGCGATTCTGGGGGTTCGCGAGCCGCCGGCTCCTTCTCGGCACTCTCAGCTGTAACAGGAGGAGCAGTGGGCTCCCCTCCCCTTCCCACGCACACTCCCGGGACACTGTGAAGACGTGGGACAAGGGGGACAAGGCTGCTGGGTCTGCTGGTTTTCTGATTAATCAGGATCCCAGTGCTAAGGGGCAACTACTACCTGGACGCCCAGAGATTTCTGTTGTGCTAATTTTTGCTGGATGCACACACAAGGTAGCCCTTCCAAGCAGGTCGGCTGTGCCCAGGATAGGGGTCTGGACACCTGGGGAAGAGCAGCCTTCTTTGAGCGAAGAAGATTGTTTTGCAAAAATATTTGAAGGCATCGTTCATTAGGCCTAGGCCCTGTCTCAGTCCTGTGACGGTCATATAGTTCCCTTGAGACACCTGTCTTGATGCTCTCCTTGTTGGATTTCTCTTCCGAGATTAATGAACCCAGCCCTGCGCAACCTCATTTCCCAACAGTTTCACGAACAATTCAGTCATCCTCCAGAATATTTTTACCAACTGCACAAACTCTGATCTAATGCAAGATTGGCTTTTCAATTCACGGTGGATTCACTTTTTCTTTCATTGAGATCTCCAGTATTTGTGAAATCCATAGTCAATTAGAGTCTCATATACAAGGCAGCAAGGTCAGGGGCAGGTGGGACAGACACTGCTTTCGGGAGAGGAGCGCGTCCGGGTAGGAAGTAATTTACAAAGGTCAATTCATCCACGTTCTGTGATGACCTTTGGTTTCCTGCCTGGCTTCCAGGGCATCAGTCAGGAAAACCAGGATAGTGAGGACCCCTCTGTCCACGGATGCCTCCCCTGAAATCTTGCCATCGGTGCTGAGGTGAAGAAACGAGAAGCACCAATCGCAGGGACTCCCGGGGACTCAGACGAGGATGAGGAGCACATCCAGTGGGACGGGGGGAAGGCTTCCTGGAGGAGCTCACATTGAGATGGAGGGGAATGGGACCCTGGAGAAGATGCCAAGCACAGGGAGTGTTCCCATAGGTTAACTCCCGACCACTGGGTATCCTAGTCCACTCAGGCTGATAAAACTGCCATAAACTGGGGGCTTCAGCAACAGACATTGATTTCTCACAGTTCTGGAAGCTGGAAGTCCACGATCAAGGCATCAGCAGACTTGGTGTCTGGTGAGAACCACTTCTTGGTTCCTAGATGGCACCTTCTCTCCGTGTCCTCACGTGGCGGGAGGGCTGAGGGAGCCCCCTGGGCTCTCATCCCATAGCAGGCTATTTCCATTGCCTGTCCAGAAGGAGGGGTGTCTGGACCGCGGAGAGTGAAATGAGTGGCAGGAATGGGGAGAGCTTTCCCGGGGGGAGAGGTGAGGCTGCCTCCTGAACCCAGCTCAGTCTGAACTCCGGCGTTGGGGTTCTAAATGCCCCTATGCGACGGACTCCAGCACACTTCCCCCCCGGTCAGCCGTCTCTGGGCCGGGGCGGAGAGATGGGCTGCAGCTGGCAGAGCATCAGCTCCTCGAGTCTCCTGTCACCCACACACCTGCCCTCTGCTGCGACTTCGCTTCATGCAGGGGGTGCCGTGAAAAGTCCCAGACCCATTTCAGGGCTTGACCTTTGCCCTTAAGAGTAATGAGGCGATGTGTCATGTTTAATGGAACTGTCTGGTCGGGATTTAACTTCTGAGCTGAGTTGCAAAGAGGTTTTAAAGACCTTTATCACAGCACGTCATCGAGAGTGGGGTCGTATGTGCCTTGGCCCATGGGCTGCGGGCACGTGCCTCATGAATTCTGCTTCCCACGCTTAGCAGCTGAGTGGCTTCCCTTAATTTCCTCCTGTGCACAGTGGGGATGTGCTGAGATCACAGGAGTGTGAGGATTGGTGAGATGAAGTATGAGAGTGAGAAGAAGGCGCAGCATGTGGACATCCTCAGGGAACAGCCCCTGCTCTCCTCCCTGGAAATCTGGAGCTGGGGGGCTTCAGCTGGGCCCTGGAGCGTGTGGAGCCTTCCCTCAAAGTTACAAATCCATTCCTTCCCATCCTTCCAAGCGGGCAGATGTGGGGAGTTTTGCACAGACCTAGAGGAAAGGGTCAGTGCAGGATGGGCAATCCTGCTGTCCCCAGGAGCCGCCCAGAATGACTGGTGACATGAGCCCTGCCTCCTTGTTGCTCAAGTCAACTACTCAAGACTTCATCTCGCAACATCCAACAAGCACAGTTCCAACCGGCTTCAGCACAAAAGGAAGTGTGTCAGCGGGTGCAGCTGGAAAGTCTGTGTGCAGAGCTGGATTCTCGGGTTCACACGGCTTCATTAGAACCCCGTCTCTCTCCATCTTTCAGTTTTGTCCTTCTCCCACCAGCTGGCAAGATGGGTGCTCAGTGGTCCAGGCTTACGTTCAATGAAGGCTCAAGTCCAGGCTTAAGTCCAATGAAGAGAGAGAGAGAAGGATGGAGGGAAGGCAGGAGGGAGGAAGAGGGGAGCAGAAGAGGAGGGGAGAGGCAGAGGGAGGGATCCCTCTCCTCTGCCCAACACTGCGATCTCCTTGGCCCGTCCAGAACTGATCATGGGGCTGACCAGCCAGTCCCGAATCACCGGCTGGCCTGGCAACAGGGTCCAGGTAGCTTTGTCCAGTCACATAGGCTGAGAGCCAGGCAGCAGGCGTTTCTGGAAGGGAGAATGAATGCCCCCAGAGGTTAAGGCCACAGTGCAGCACGCATCCTGGGAGCTGCTGCTTTCCCGAGCTCTCTCTGCCTCTTTCACACTTCCTAATCTCTCCTCCTGGCCCTGGCAACTTTAACGAATGACGTCATTTCCAAGTGAGACCCTCCAGGTGTAGTATAGTAACAGCTCACCTGCCAGGGGCCACGCTCTGAAACTTCTCTGCCTTCTGTCCCCTTCAGGTCCTCCGGCTCCCCCACAAGATGTCACTGTCCAAGCTGGGGCCAGCTCAGCCACCGTGCAGGTCTCCTGGAGGCCGCCCACTCTGACGACCACCGGGCTGTCCAATGGAGCCAATGTTACAGGCTATGGCGTGTATGCAAAGGGACACAGGGTGAGTTTTGTTGGGGGGGTGCACCCAGGACTGGCCCGATATCTGCTCAGTGTGGGGTTGACCATGGGAAGCGTCTTTCCTCCCTCCTCCACCCCAAGATCCACCAGCACTTATTAAACACCACCCACACCGCCACCCCAAGGCCTGGCCACAGAGCACTGAGAACCCCATCCATTTTTGTCCCCCTCCTTTCCAGAATTCTCACTGCCTCCCTTCCACTCTGATTATCTGCCCTGCTTTGGACCTTTTCTTTTCTCCTCCCCTCAGTATTAAAAACCCACTTGTCTTGAGTCCCACAATATGAGGGCCCCCTCAAAACGTGACTGGCCTTTGAATTCCAATGAACTGATTCTTGGCAAGATGGTATTAAGGCCCAAAGGGGAGCACTCCTGGCCAACACTGTAGGGTCTGCCCATCAGCAAATGACCGGGCCTTGACTCTGAGAAGCAAGCCTGTCCTCAGGCTTGCAGCAGGGAAACCCATCACATCAGCCCCATGCCTGTGCTGGCACATGAAATAGACACAGCTGCCTGTGGGGGAGGCTTGAGAAGCTTCTGTCTATCCTCCATCCTTCCCATCCCGTTTGTCCCAAGGAGGAGGGAGTGAGGTATTTGATGGACAGATGTGAGTGGCTGAGCTCTCTCCCACTTGCTCTGTGAGAGCTGCCTGCTGCACGCTGCACGACTCCCCTCTGCTCCCCACTCCTGCAGGCTGCATGACTCCCCTCTGCTCCCTTCCTCCTGCAGGTTGCATGACTCCCCTCTGTTCTCCCCCCTCCTGTAGACTGCAAGACTCCCCTCTGCTCCCCTCCTCCTGCAGGCTGCATGACTCCCCTCTGCTCCCTCCTCTTGCAGGCTGCATGACTACCGTCTGCTCCCCCCTCCTGCAGGCTGCATGACTCCCCTCTGCTCCCCTGCTCCTGCAGGCTGCATGACTCCCCTCTGTTCTCCCCTCCTCCTGCAGGCTGCATGACTCCTTTCTGCTCCACCCTCCTGCAGGCTGCATGACTCCCCTCTGCTCCCCCCTCCTGCAGGCTGCATGACTCCCTTCTGCTCCCCCCTCCTGCAGGCTGCATGACTCCCCTCTGCTCCCCTGCTCCTGCAGGCTGCATGACTCCCCTCTGTTCTCCCCTCCTCCTGCAGGCTGCATGACTCCTCTCTGCTCCACCCTCCTGCAGGCTGCATGACTCCCCTCTGCTCCCCTCCTCCTGCAGGCTGCTTGACTCCTCTCTGCTCCACCCTCCTGCAGGCTGCATGACTCCCCTCTGCTCCCCTTCTCCTGCAGGCTGCATGACTCCCCTCTGTTCTCCCCTCTCCTGCAGGCTGCATGACTCCCCTCTGCTCCCTTCTCTGTGGGGAAGTCCTCCTGTGGCAGGTCCTGCTCGTGCAGAAGAGGCCTCAGTCCTGTCTTCTCACTGCAGTAGGAAGCCCAGTTTGGCCTCGCCCAGCCCCTTCCTTCCGCTCAGCTTTGGCAGTAGTAAACCTCCTGTTGTGATCCCTCTCTGGCCCCTGCCTCTCTTGGTTCTGAACTGGGAAGAAAAGGGGCGTGCTTAATGGCCCTCCCAGCCTCCAATGGCTGGGCAGATCCTGGGGCCTGCAGGCCTCCCCTGCCTGGCCCTCTCTGAAACTTACCTGATTTCCAGGCTGCGCCATGTGGTTTGGGTCGGATGTAGTTTGGGCCCCAGTCCCTGACTACGAGAGGCAGTCTGAGGGCTGGCCTTTCCCATTTCACGGGCACATGGAGAGCAACTGCCTGTGATACCCGGGGCCAGCTGTGAGCTGCCTTTCTCTATGCGCAGGTGGCTGAGGTCATCTCCCCGACGGCGGACAGCACAGCCGTGGAGCTCGTGCGGCTGCGGAGCCTGGAAGCCAAGGGTGTGACTGTGAGGACCCTCTCTGCGCAGGGCGAGTCCATAGACTCTGCTGTTGCTGCCATTCCCGCCGACCTCCTGGTGCCTCCAACCCCTCACCCCAGAACTGCTCCCACACCGAAGCCATTAGCAAGTGCCGGAGCCCCTGATACCAAAGATGAACACCTGGGTCCCCATGTCAAGGTGGACGAGGCCTGGGAGCAGAGTCGGGTGCCTGCCCCTGCCCACGGGCACATGCTGGAGCCGCCTGGCCTCCAGGGCCCGGGTCCCGGAAGGCGGTCGCCCTCGCCCAGCCGGATCCTCCCGCAGCCACAGGGCACCCCGGTTTCCACCTCTGTCGCCAAGGCCATGGCCCGGGAAGCCGCGCAGAGAGTGGCCGAGAGCAGCAGGGTAAGATTGAAGAGGTTTTCCTCATTGGTTCTGCCGCTCCTGGAATGTGTTCCATCCCTGCAGCCCAGCTGGGATGGAACGTTCCAGCAGCACCGTGAGTCTGCAGAGAAGCGCTCGGAACGCTCGGGATCTGCCTTGACTTAGAAGGGAGGATGTCACGTGTGTCCTTCAGTGTCCCCTTGGGCTATGTTCAGCCCTGATCCTGATGGAATCAGAATGCTGGATGTTTTGCAAATATGGACCCAGATAACCAGACCAAATGCCTGTCTACCAGCCTGGCTTAGAAACTGGGTGTGAGCAACCCACCAGCCAGACTTTGGTCTGTGTCAGGGGATCTGAGAGGGGCCCGCTGGGAGTCAGCTTGGGAACCCATCTTCCTAAACAAGGCACAACTCCTGCCTCCGCTCGCTCTGGAGTTGTGTGTATGTGTGTATACATGTACATGCACACACGTAGACAGACATATTTACACACGCATATATACCTACATAATACACATATAGACGACACACATATGGTTGCATGCCTATTACTAGAAACAGTTGGGGCCATGGGGAGAAGGAGTGTTTAGATCACGGTGGGGCCATGTTCCTGACGGTGTGGCAATGAGACAAGAGATTTTAAGAAACACCTATGAAGTGATGCCTAGCAAAGCGGGTGAGCTGAGCTGGACGGGGAGCCCCTCGCTGCCTGGGACAAACCCCCCATCTCTTCCTCATGTGCGTCCATCTACCAGGGTGCCCGGCGTGTCTGCTGCGAGCCCGAGGTCAGGGCGCTGGGAGAGAGACAGCAGTCCTCTCGGCACTGCCCGGCCAGCCGGTAGGGTCTCACCAGGATGTGACCCCTGGCAGCGCCGTCTCTGAGATCCAGGTGGAAACGCCTGTGCCACCAGTGGGAGACGCTGACTTCCCTGGCATCCCCAGGGTTGGGGGCTGGGTCAGGGGACTTCATGAGGGGCGCAGTCCCCCAGAGGTCAGAGCTAAGTGGCACAGGCCACGTCCAGGACCCGGGAGGGATGCAAGCTACAGCAACAGTGCTTCAGCTACTTTCAAAAAACTGGGAGTCCAGGCTTTTATGTGATGTCTCCCAGTTTGTTCAAATTGGCCACGAATTCTTAAAAAAAAAAAATTAAACACTAATTTGTGATCTCTGACTGAAGAGAATGCTTCAGAACATTCACATTTATTTCCGGCCCAGTGCTTCTCTGCTCTGATTTCCTGCAGAGCAAAAGCCCAGGCCCCGAACATCAGCGTTGGGGGCTTCGGGCGAAGCTCCAGGGGCAGGAAGGGGCTGGCAGGTGAGTGCTGCCCGCTGTGCCCCTTCTGATGGCAGCCACATATCCTGCAGCCCTAAGACCCCCAGACAGGGCCCCCAGAGCTGGCTGCAGCAGAGACTGGGCCCAGGAAAGCTGGCCCACCTTCTGGAAGGTGTGGAGAAAAAGCACACATCTGAGATTCATTTTTCAAGAAAAGGATTTAGAGCCAGGCAAAGGTGGCAAATGGAGGGAGACGAGAAGTTCATTGGTGTCTGCGAGTGCCTAGCAATAGTTCTGGGGGCCGCCTGGTGGCCTAGTGGTTAAGTTCACGGCTCTGCGTCCGCGGCCTGGGTTTCACTAGTTCGGATCCTGGGTGCAGACCTAGCACTGCTCCTCAAGCCATGTGGCATCCCACGTACAAAATAGAGGGAGATTGGCATAGCTATTAGCTCAGCAACAATCTTCCTCACCAAAACAAACAAAAAAAGAAAGTTGTGGTAAGCGTGGGAGGGGACAGGAAGGTACAGCTGTGTCACACCCACATCAGAAAAGCCACCCTTGAGCCAGCGTGTTGGGTCACTTGACCCTGTGTTCCACATAATGGTTCCCAGAGGGCTGTGGGGTCGAGCAAAGGAAGGGGCAGAACCCAGAAGACGTGGAGCCTGGAGGCCTCCTTCCCTGCAGCTGCCCGGCTCCCCTGCTCCGCAGCCTCTGCTTACCCGCTTCTCCTCTTTCTCCCTCCAAGTTAGAGAAACGGAGCATCTTCCTGGAGAGGAGCAGCGGGCAATACACCAACTCCGACGAGGAGGACGGCTATGACTCCCCAGACGTCAAGAGGAGGGGCGCCTCGGTGGACGACTTCCTGAAGGGCTCCGAGCTGGGCAAGCCGGTGAGAGCAGGAGGAGAGTGCCTGCTGGCCCCCTGTGTCCCATCCGTCAGAGCCTAGCTGATGCCTCTGCGTAGGCCTTTGGAGACCCAAACACCCTGGCCCATGAGAAAGAGGAGGGGCCAGGCCCGGGTACCCTAATTGCGGTAGAGTTGGAAAGTGTAGGCTTAACCAGGCCTGTGCGTTGGTGACATCATGTGGGGACAATTTCAAACATCTAAGGTGAGGCTTCCACCCTGCCTGGCTGCCCTGTGCTGGTATCTGGTCATGAAGGCGATTTGGGGGTCAGGTAAATCCACAGATGACCACCTGGTGTCAATTTAGCAGAACCTACCATTTGTGTGCTCACTTTTGTTAATCAGGCAAATGTTTTTGGACACCTGCTCTGTGCTAGGCATCATGGGAAATTCAGAAATCAAACGGTCAGCATCCTACCTGCAGAGAAACACAGTGTCAGTGCTTCCCCTTCTGCACCAGGCTTCTAATTAACAAATCCCTCCAGTGTGGGTTTGGTCGCCATTTTCTGGTTATGTGTATGCTAATAGAAATGTCCTTGAATGGTGTCAAGAATGGTGGACAGCAGGAGGGCAGGGTCTGGAGAGTCCTGAGATCTTGGAATGTCAGAGCTTGAAGACATATCAGACGCTGGGTCATCCAGCCCCCTCGAGACACACTCCCACAGCAGGGCAGTGTCACAGCCTCCATAAGAAGGAATCTCACAGACCTGGAGTCACATCCTGACGCTGCTGCTGCCTGCTGTAGCGCGGTAGGCAAGTTACCCAGCCTCTCTAGTCATCAGAGTCTTTATCTGTAAGATTAAAACAACTCTGTTTTCATTAATTTTAACATAAGAAAAGGAATGCCCAACTAATAATGAGTAAGATAACAAAGACATTTAATTACCCCACATCACAGGAAGGCTCAAGTGGGAGGTTGCAAGGTTGATAAAGCTGCTCAATTGTGTCCAGGCTCTGGGTTCTGAACCTTCCATTCGTTTGGCCTTTCATTGGCCTTTCATGGTTACAAAGTGGCTGCCATTGCTCCAATAATCACACCCTCATATGACAGCACCCCAAGGAGGAAAGAAGGAGTGGATAGAAAAGGGAGGGGACTTTATCCTCAGGCACTTTCCTCTTAACTTGGGAGAAAAATCTTTTCCAGAAGCTCCATCAGACTTCCCACTACATCTCACCAGGCAGACCAGGGTCACGTGCCTACCACCGAGAGAGGAATAGGATTCCTATGAATGGCTTATGAATGATATCTCTGGCAAAAACCAGAGACCTCCTTCCATCCCATGAGTTTATCCCTAACTCATCACTGGGTTTGAATCAATGAGACTGTGTTCTCGTCAGGGAGACCTTTCCCATAAGCCTTAGGAAGACCTCATTAAAACCAGCCTGATCTTTGTTTATTCATTTAAGACCAATTCACTTTTATGCTTCTTCTTGGTGCCTGATTGAAAGAACTAGGGCCAGAGCAGCTCAAACGCTGACACAGCAGCCCCTCAGGCTGAGAACACTCCGTCCCCTCTCGCGATGCGGCTCAGGCAGAGCCTGCTGCCTGGAGTGGTCCTGCTGTGTCCTCCTCAGCTGCAGTGAACTTAATGTGATGGGAAGTGCTTATGCGTCTTTATCTAGGGTAGTCATCGAAACCAGGGTGTTTTTAATAAATATGTCATGGGATGCTATTAAATACATTTGTCATGTCGCCCACCAGGAAAATAAACAGGATCCAACAAAAATAGAACGTCTTTATGGATGTTTTCACTCATAAATCTGAGCTCCTCAGGGTGTGCAGTTTGAGTTGCTGCAACTTTATTTATTTTGTTTTGAATACTCGAGATATTGGGTGACGGAGTGCTTTCCTTGTGCACGAGGACATGGCTGCTGAGTTGACATGGCACCGTCACTGCAGCGCCCCATCAGGGCTGTCTCCATTTCAGTGTGCATGGCTCCAAGTGTACTCACTTTGGGGGGTTGTCATGTTTCTGTGACAGTAACAGATCAGCTGGTATCCACATTATGGTTTGAGATCCCCAGCCTCTAAATTCTATAATATTTACTCTTAAGGAGGCTTTTCTATTGAACATTTTACACTGTCCCCAGCCTCTTCTCTGGGTCTCTCCACAATGGCACAGTCTTAATCTGGTGTCAGTAACCAAGCTGGGCACAGAGTGGACACAGCCTGCACACGGTTTCTGCTTTCTGCCCAGACCAGCGTATACATTACTGTGCCCTGAGCCCTCCTGCCACCTGAGTGTGCAACCTATAGCTTGAACCTTTGTTCAGCCACTAAGCTGGAGAGGCTGGTGGTACCCAGAAAAGTGGCGTTTACCCATGTATCTTATAAGTGGTGCTCTGTCCCACGCAGAGCCCAGGGTCTCTGTGTCTCTTCCCATCTGGCCTTGGCATTGAGAGACTCAGTCTGGTCCTCTCTCTGCTATCCCCACTGTCTGCGTGCTTGGTGAGTATGTGGACATCTAGGCCCATTTCCTTACTTCTAAAGTGGGAGCACAGACAGACACCCAGCCTGGTCTTGGAGCTCATGAGGTAGTGAGAAAGGGAAGGGGCAGCGAGGAGACCCTTGGGGCCTCTGATATCTGGAAGAGCTCCACGGCCGAGAGACGCCCTCCATCTGTGTCCCCTTTGCCTGCCCCCAGCCGCACTGTTGCCATGGAGATGAGTACCACACGGAGAGCAGCCGCGGGTCTGACCTCTCAGACATCATGGAGGAGGACGAGGAGGAACTCTACTCCGAGATGCAGCTGGAAGACGGGGGCAGGCGGCGGCCCAGTGGCACATCCCACAATGCCCTCAAGGTCAGTGGCTGAGGGGTACCGCTTCCTCCACAACGACCAGGAGTGGCCCCATCCCTGTCCATTTGCTGGGGCTGTGGAGGCCGGCTCCAGAGGGGTCTGGCCCTGCCATGGGAAGCCCATGGATTTGGAGTGGCTTCTTTCTTACTGTTGAATTTGCGTTCAGGAATTCCCTGAACCTCCTCCTCTTTGCCAAAACGTCTGGGTGAAGGAGTTTGGGACAATGCTTTTGACACCCCCCAGAGGGCACCCAGCTCTGTATGAGGACTTTATTGGGAGAGAACAGAACAGGGGAGCTTTCCTCCCATCCCCATAGCCTCAAGGGCTCCTCCATAGAGAGGCAGCAGCTGGGAGTGTAGGAATCAGCCTCTGAGTCAGAACCAGAGTTTGGGGACGTGGGGGTCCAGCTAGGGGAATGGAACAAAGACTTCCTAAGAGGAAAGAACTGAGGTGGGCCCTGCCCAAGGGTGGAAGGGAGGAGCAGGAGGTGGGGCAGGCATGGGGAGGTCAGAGGAGGGCTGGGCATGGAGGGATGGCATCCTGGGGGACAGGGGTCCACACACAAACCCCTCTGGACACTTCCCACCAGAGACCCTGGCATCCTCTGCTCCCACCTCTGGTGTGGCCATCAGTAGAGGGTTTGATGGGAGGTCACCTTAATGGATGCTGAGCTTAAGCCACTGTCGAGCTCAGGAAGAGGTTTGCCCTGGGTGCGCGTCCCTCTGTCCTTGCCTTGGGGGGCTGTCCTGCCGCTGCTGCTGCTGACTGTGCCAGCTCAGGCATTTATTCATTCCACTGAGCCCGTGAGCTGAGTGCCTCTGTGCACCAGGCCCTGTGCCAGGCTGGGGGCCACAAGGATGGACATGGTCCCAACCCTCCAGCTGTTCCCAACCTGCAGGGGAGACAGACAAAGTGCCAGGCAGCTGGTAGGACCTTTGTGGGTTTTTCAAATGAAAAAGGCCTTAGAGAAGAACATTCCACTGGGGGATGAAGCCCCAACCACTGAATTTCTCTAGAAACACAGAGTCACACATTTTGAATGGTGGACAGAAGGTACCATCCAGATCTGGCTGCCAACCTAGCACCTACTGCACAGAGAGACTGACTGATGTTTTCCCAGACGGCCCTGAACTGAGAACACGCCAGACGCTGTGCAAATCCTGCGTGGTTTCAGCTCCTGCTGCTCCTACGGCTCCTCCCCCGAGCCCCTGCCACCTCCCAAAGTGACTCCGAGCAGGATTCACGGGGAGCCCCAAGTTGCCCGGTGGGTGGTCCGTGTGACCTCCCCCACAACTTCCCACACCTTGCCCAGAACCTAGAGTTCCCTGCACATGCTCTCGGTTGGGCCAGGAGGAATGCAGAGTGCATTCCTGTTCGCCACTGCCCGCCAGCCTCCTCCTGTGCATGGAGGAAGCTCCTGGATGGCACTGCCTACAAACTCTCCAGCAAAGAACAAAGGGCACCTTCTCTCCTAGGGTGGAGGCCCAGAGAACAAGCAAGTTCGTTACAGACCAGATAGCAACTCCCACACCCATAGGCACAGCCTGCCCCCTTGGGAATAGCCACGTCCCACATATCGAGATGAGATCACGGCTGGCAGGAAGAGGGCCCCACGGCAGCCACATGCTCACTTTGCTTTGCCCACAGCATTCCTACGTTTTTAAAAAATCAGGTGGCTTTACAGGCTGATCTGTACTTCTGGTTTCTCTGTAGAAATTCTGAGATGTGGTGTGGGGATGTGGCTGCTCTGGGCCCACCTTCCCACGTGGCAACAATTAGGTGCAGCTGAGCCAGTTTCCTGACTAATGGGCTCGGTTCCCTCAGGCAGGTCCCAGCCTAGCCCTGGAGAGCTCCTGGGTGACTAATGGGCTCAGTTCCCTCAGGCAGGTCCCGGCCTAGCCCTGGAGAGCTCCTGGGTGAGCCCCTGTGCTCCTGGCCTTCACCGTCCTCCTTCACCCCAATACTCCTTGGAACAGATGCCTTGGTATCATGTCAGCAGATGAGAGATGGGTCAGCTGGCAGCGTGCATGCACATTCACCCTCTCACCTGCTGTCAGTGAGTTCCGAGCACATGCAGACATGGTGTTACGGGACCAAAGTGAGTCGTCTCCTTGGTGAGTTAATCAAACTGCACGAGTAGTTGTCACACAAAGCAGAAATTTTATTTGCAGCATGCAGCAAACAAAATGAAGACCACGGGGATGACTTCACAAAGCTATGGCTCCCTGAGCTTGGGGAGTGAGTGCCTTTGATTTGGGGTAGTGGATGAATATGCAAGAAGGAAGTGTTGTCATTCCACGTAGAGGTGGGCATGGGCTGGCAGATGTGCAGTTCAGATACACACCTCCACGTACATCTCATGTTGTTAATAAGACTTCAGCTTCTCCTGGGGTGGTGGTTTTACTATTAGAACGAGGTAAAGGTTACTTTTGTACACTTTTCCATTCTTCTGCACAGGCATCATTCCTGCAGTGTGGTTTCGGCTGGTCTGAGCCAGTTCAAGCTGGTGGGTAGCTATTTATCATCTTGAAAAACAACTTTGAGGAACTATTAAATGCTGATGGAACTTTTTAAGTAACTCTGGACAGTTAGCTGGTGACAATGGCATTAGGTAAACCTGCCAGGGTCCACGTGCTGGTGAAGCCCGCAGGCCGTGGGGGCAGACAAGGCAGTAAATCGTGACATCCCCAGGAGGCCCGTCCCTGCTGAGCATCCCCGGGAGGCTGTCAGGGGAGAGGCAGGGTATGGCTTGTCTGAAGAGTCCATGACGTCCTCCCAGAGGAGAGACACTTGTGTGGGGGGTCGTTCAGTGGGAGTGCATGTCTTTAGGGAGAGCACAAGCTGGGGGGTATTCCTGGCAGAGAATAGTTCGTGCAAGGCCATGAAGACGCACAGCCTACATTCCACGAACATATATTAGGCACCTCCTGGGTGTGCCAGCTCTGGGCCAGGCCCTGGAGCCCAAGAGAGTGGCGACATGGCTCTCCCCTCAGGCCCCGAACTCCAGGATCCAGGAGAGACAGACAGACCCCCAGGCCTTTGCAGACACTGATGAGCACGACCGTATAGCAGGTGCCATTCCAGGAGCTAGGATGCAGTGCTGAGTGACAAGGTCCCTGGTTCACCTGATGTTTTGGCCAGGGAGAAAGATGACACGTGAGCAAGATGGGAAGGAAGGATTTCAGAGGGTGCTGTGTGCCAGAAAGAAGATGACATGTCCAGTGGTGGGGACACTTACGGGTTGGGGGCACTGTTTGTGAGCTGTCTCCAGTCACACCTGGCATCTGACGGCAGCCGCCTTCTGAGTTTCTGAGGGCGCAGGCAGAGGGCATGGGGTGCAAACTCTTGCTGCTCCGGGTGCACTGCCTGCAGAGCCAGGCACCTCGGCCACGTGACGCCTCCTGCCTCCATCCTCCCCGGGCCTGCACCTAGCTGCCTCTTCTTTCTTCGGTGTAGTCTCCTGGCCCGGCCCTGAGGACGGACATCCAGCCGCTCTCTGTGTGTGCTCTGCCTCCCACCTGCTCCGGCACCATCCATTTAACCCATTCTGTTCTCATTTCAGAGCCCGGCCAGAGCATGCCCTTGCCCCCCACAAGAAAGCATGCTTTCTGTTTCTCATCGCCCCTAAGACTAATTCTGTCTGTATTTTCTTTCCTTCCCTTGGCCCCCTTCATGTCTCACCATACACTGTTGCCCGGCACCTGTTCTAACACCTGCCCCCTCAGGAGTGCTATCAAAATAGGACCACTGAAGGAGCTTTCTTGGAACAGCCTGAGTTTCCCCAACAGACCCACCACAGTAAGAAACTTTTCAGTATCCCTGAAGTAGCGGAGGAGGATGGAGAGCTCTGTGAGTTCTTGCACAAACAGGGCTTAGGGTACTCCTCCAGGGCCAGGACTGTGCTGGCCAGAGAGCCCAGGCCTGCCAGGCCCTGCAGGGGCGACGAGGCCCTGCAGGGTTCCTGGTTCCCTGTGAAACCCAGGAGCCCAGAGGCTGGCCCCCAGGCCGCGGACTTTGTTCTGGAAAACAGAGGCTGTCGGTTCAGCCGCTTTGCCACCAGGAGCCCAGACAGTGGGCTGGACTGTGGGAGCGAAGAAGAAGAGCTGCGGCTTAGTTTCAGAAATCCTGCTAAGTGCAGCCCGGGCCCTGGGCAGTGTCCCTGCAGGAGGAGCCCGAGGCCCCTGCTGGCCCGGCGGCGGACGCTGACCCGGCAGAGCAGCATCGAGGAGGACTTTGGGGAGCAGGTGGAGGCCATCAGGAGCGATGACGCCCACCCGAGCCCAGAGAGACCCACCCCCAGGAAGTATGGCTGGGACGAGCCTGCGGGGCACGAAGACTTCCAGGATGTCTGGCAAAAAAGCATAAATGTGCCTGACACTCGGGCAGCCGCCCAGCACGCACAGCCAGCTGCCCGGGCTGCAGAGGGGCCTCTGGTGTGTGAAGTAAAGTCCCTCCTCACGTCCGCTTGCCAAACCAATCTGTTCTCATTCTTCCACCTATTCATTTCGGTGTCCATCCCTGGGGATCTCTCTGCTGGCTCTCTTTAGTTTTCCATGCATTTTTGATTTATTGAATCTCATTGCTTCCCAATCTTTTGATCATGCTGAAGATTTCTTTACTTTGCTTTAGAATAATGATTCCCCTCCCCCAGAATCAATAATGAGTATGGCTGCTTTAATTAAAGGACAACTGAATCTAAGTTTTAATTAAGGGTTAGCTGAACTACAATTAGCCAGAAGTTTGGCAACACATATTCTCTCAAAATGAACCCTAGGGACTTACCTGTGACTCCCGACCTCATTGAAGGTTTTCTTCTTGTGGTTTTGGTTTTCTTGTGGTTTTTTAGCCTTCATTCATAACTGAAAAAAAAAACAAACCAGAGAACCCTTACTGGAGAGATCCATTTTTGCATATTTCCAAAGTATTTTTTTCTGTTTCTTCCCTGTGTCCAGTTTTCAGAATGAATTTTCTGTCACCAGCTCCAGACACATCCCCCTGCCTTGTCTTCCAGGCTGTGAGTTGGTTTTCAAGAGTAGGGATCCATGCAAGGCTTCATTCATCTCTATATTGTATCCTCTTGCAGAACATTTGCTCTCGTCATGCTGAGCTTTTCAATGCAAACAGGTGAGATGTCACGTGGGCCAGGCCTTGGGTCTGAGCCGATGTGGTCTGACACACGTCCGCAAGAGGCTGGTGCTCCATGCCCTCCGGATGCCGGGCCCCGGCAGCCCCAGCCTGTGCCCACCTGTGACAAGCTAATTCCTGGAACTCCCTAAGCATTGCTCATTCCCTGTGTCCCTGAGAGCTTCCTGACTCAAATCACTAACCAGGCAGTGGAGGTTTTGCCTTGATTTTCTGATACGACTCTTACTTCAGCGCAAATTAGAGGTAAGCTGACCCATCAAGGAGAACCGTTCCAGTGAGCCCTGAAATGGGCTGGCGTCTTCGGGTTAGGGCCAAGACATTGCCATGAGTTTCAAAGTTGATAACGCACAGAAAATTCTGTCTCTGAGCTTTCGGTAACCTCACAGACAACTTCTCCAAGGGGGACATTTGGAAACGCAGGGTTTTGCCCACTGTTGGGATCTCTGGAGGAGGGCAGGCCATACTGAGACTAGGTAGGGTCGTACGTGGTCAGAGGTGTTGAAGGTGTGAGGAATTGTACCTAGGCCACTCTCACTCTGGTTCAAGATATTCAGCTTCAGCAGCAGTAGCAGCAACAAAAAGATGTCCCCCAATGAACTCTGTCTCACCCCACCCTCCGTGTGTGGAAAAGCAACTCTGCCATGGAAGACAGGGGCCGGGGGCCAGCGGCTTTCTTCTCTTCCAGGTTATTCAGCTAACCTTTCAGTTAAAAGCTACGTTTAGTTGCCTTTAGAGCTTCTGCTTCTAAGTTGAATTGATTGGGCTAGCTTAGTCCTGTCCTTCCCAAGGCTGGCAAGACTCATGACTGTCGTTTTGTCTTCAGATTTTAGGAAACCTGGTGTTGGCGGGACGCGCTACTGAGAGGGCAGATCACGGGGGCCGGAGGTTTGCCCACGGCGGTGCTGGCCCCCAGAGGTCCCGGCCAGTGATGGTCCCGTCCATCGGTTAGTGGGCCTACTTGACGCCTTTCTCTTTCTTTCAACCGCAGAGCAAACAGCTGCTTAGTCCTTGATCTAAACATTTAAAAAAATTATTAGGAGTAACATTTTTAACTAAATACAGAAAACTCTTGATTATTTATGGCAAAAAGAAGACAGACACAGCACAAGGTAAATAAAACTTATTTGTAAGTATTCTCAAAATATCATATTGACTTTTTTACGTCAGTGTTCTTCCTGCAAATTTTTTTCCCTGGGGAGGCCAAACCATGTAAGCATTGAAGAGATCACAGTGTGTCATCCCTCCGCATGAGATGCTCACGGTCAAAGAAGCAGCAGAGGCAGGGATGCCGGCCCAACGCCAGGTGTCTCCAGGAGCCCTGAGTGATGGAGCGCTGTCTGTCTGCAGGAAACACTGTGGTGACTGGGTTAGAAGTTATAAGAAGCACCGTGAGGCCTGAATGTGTCCCCTGACGTGTGCTGCCCTCATCCATCTGGTTGCCTCCTCATTCATGAGTCATCCTCTGGCATCCCACTTCCATTCTCTTAATTACTTTTTGGAATTCAGCCAGTCATGCTGAAAGCTGTCATTTCAGTCATTCAAATCAATCCACCAAGAGGGGGAAGGTGGCTGGGAGGGAAGGTCAGATGGGAGGACTTCTATTATTGGAATGAATCACCGAAAAGACAATTCCAAAAAATATTATTATGCACAAGATAATGGAAGCTGGAAATCAGCACAAATAAACTAGCTTTATGTGAACACACACACACACACACACACCCCCAGAGCAAGGAGAACTGTTAATAGGATAGAAGTAGGTGAGAGGAAACATCTTGATGTGGCAACAAGGGCTTGAGGAAAACAACTCACGGACGGTCTAGGCACTTGGAAACACAGCTCTAATCGCACTTCAATGACTAGAGTTTAAAAGACACTCAGTCTTCTTTCACATCCACTAAAAATAAAGAAAGTCATTATTGGAGCTGGGCTGGTGGCACAGCGGTTAAGTGCGCACATTCCTCTTCGGCGGCCCGGGGTTCACCAGTTCGGATCCTGGGTGCGGACATGGCACCCCTTGGCAAAAGCCATGCTGTGGCAGGTGTCCCACCTATGAAAAGTAGAGGAAGATGGGCACGGATGTTAGCTCAGGGCCAGTCTTCCTCAGCAAAAAGAGGAGGATTGGCAGCAGTTAGCTCAGGGCTAATCTTCCTCAAAAAAAAAAGATTAAAAACAAAGAAAGTCATTCTAAAGCAAAAACAGATCCTCTAAAATTTTATCTTTCTTTCAGACATTTCTTCCTCATAGAGTCCAAACCATAGGGGAAAAAATGTCCTTTTTGATCTTTACAATTTTTAGAATATTTTTATTTTTATCAGTAAAAATTTCATAGGATGTTAAAGATCCTTTAAAAAGAGTATTTTCAGTTAATTGAAAAATAACAAATATGCACAGAGTTGGAAAACACTGATTTCTCTTATTACAGATGAACTAGCAGAGTTACACATCTACTGAGCCTAAATTACCGTGGAAGGTTCTAAATCCAGCATCTCTCGAGTCTTCACGTAATCTGTGTCTAATTCCCTGTGTAGCAAGCACACAGCTTGAACAGCTTCTCCTGGCTTACGAAACAGATGACTTGAGGGAGACTGACTGTCCTTAGAGACGAGCCGGAGGCAAGGCCAGCCCGCATTCATGACTCTGATCCTCCTCTCCCGTTGACCCTGGTCTCTGAGTCTTCCTTTCATTGCAACTGTAACGAGCGAGGCCTGCAAGCATCGCTCGTTAACTGAGCTGCTGTTGTTGGTGGAGCTGAGAAATTGATGTCGTGGGCACTACGATGGTGTCCTTTGGGGAGATCTGGTGGGTCTCCTGCCCCAGTCTCCCAGTATGGAGAAGGAAAGTCTTCTTTCAGAACTGAAAACTAGGTGATTCAAATTGCCAATTGGGCAAGGAAGTAAAGGGAAAACATCAGTGCACCCACAGTCTTGCCAAGTGACCCTCATCATCAGAGAATCTGACAATCCTTTATTTGGGTTTGTCTTAAGGTAAAGAATTCAAAAGGCTACACACTTAATTTTAGTAAGACACTAGTTAAATTAGTAGAAAGGGAGTAATGTTAACACCTTAAGAAAAAGCCTCTTTAATAATGTAACTCAAAAGAATGTTAAATAAATCCCTGTTAGATTTGCTTTAATTGCGCCTGACTTCTTATCATGCAGTAACACAAGAAACCACACAAAAAGCATAATTAATAGCAAGGACTCCAGATATTCATACACATATATAGATACACATGCAGAAGGCCCTATTATATTTTCAGAGGACAAAAGTGAAATGTGCTCAGCAGCTACCAAAACAGAGGGGAATCCTGCCACTGATGCTAGGAAATGAACACCAGTGACGTGCGAACAGACTATTTTCCTCTAGTGCCTATTTACTTATATTTTTTTTGTGCAAATATCAGTAATTAATATTTTAGAAATCTGCTGTACTCCAAAAGCATCAGTTTTCTTTTTCAGAGGAACTTAAGTCTATAGCCATATACTTCATAAATATAGTTTTAATAAGCAATGCATTCACAATTAAATAAAAAAGTACACCTTTTAATAGTCTCTGGGTTTTCCAAATTGACAAAACAATGCCCCTCCTTATGTAAAAAGACAAAAATTATGTCACTCCACATCTGCTAACTTCTAGGTCATATAATCAGCATGAAGGCCTCAAAGCATCGACAGGCGACTCCGAAGGAAGATTTCATTGGGTTTACTTTCTTTCTTTGTAATTTTTGGTCTATTTCTTAATTGAGTTATTTATCTGTCAGATGAGAAGGCCAGAGGGTATCCCCTTCTAAAAACAAAGCACCACATTCGAGAGGCTTCTGTTCACTGATCGACTGTGAAAGTCTCTGTTTTCTCCCATTCCCCGATTTCTTTGGCTACTGAGTTCACACAGCGAGAAGATGTAGCCAGTTTTCTCTGTGTGCAGAGAGGAAACATTCAAATGAATAGAGAAACAAAGCCTGGCCCTTTAGAAAAGAGACCTCTTTTCCACGGGTTTCCGTGCAAGGAGAACATGACAAGCTATACAATCTGTTTCATTAGATGATTCCCTTTTTCTCCGTAGAACTTACAATGGATAGGATCAGTGGTGGTGGTTGGTCTTGGTTGGGTAGTGAGGGAAATATTCACCTGTAGAAGATTGTGCTTATTCTCGCAGCACGGACAGACTCAGGAGCCAACTCAGGCAACTCATGAGCCCTGACTTGGCACATGGTATGCAGACCCTTTCTCCTTCCCAAGAAAGGCCCACTTAACTGTGACCTGATAATAACCTTCCCAGGGCCAAGACCCTTCCACAGCAGGGCAGAGGGGAGGAAGGCCCACTCCTGTCAGACCTACACCTGGAGGTAAGTTCTTCCTTTAGTCCAGCCTGCCACCAAGAAAGAGAAGGGCCTCCCAGTCACTCACTCTAGTCGCTGGTGAAGCCAGGTTTCCATGGACGCATTCCTTGGAGGCTGCCGTTCTCTTCCCTCCGAGGTCTGGTTTTCATGAAGTGTCTAATGCACCCTTTCCGGAAGAAAATATAGTGGTGTCCCTCATAATCACACTTTCATTTATACATAATCAACTATGAATGCTCAAACCACCTCTGCCCCATCCCTACCCTCCATTTCTTCCTCCCAAAACCAGAAAGAGATCATGCAACAGTGTGGGCAATTCTGCCCACTGTTTTCATTGAACATGTACTCTCTGGATGGAGCCTTCGATGGGACCCTAGCCTGAGATCGCCTTATCAGTCTCACGCCTACATGCCTCCCATAGTGTGAGCCCTTGTCATGCTCGGTGTGATTTTGGATTTAAAGATATAAAGACACTATTTTCCACATATCATGCCCCCTGAGCATGAGCCACCTACTGAGAACATGCGCTCCAATGTAGACTATGGAGTGACTTAAAATATCTTCAAGGATCATGTGGACCATACCCAACCCTCCCCCCATGAACTGACCTAGCACCTGACCCACAATCGCACATGTCAACTCAGCTGGAGAAGCCTTGAGAACCCCCTGGGCAAACCCCACCAGAGCTGTAGCCATGATTCTCCCTCACTGACATTTTCCCACAGCTGAAATGGCATTCACTAGATCCATTGACATTGGTGCTAAGTTCCTTCTGCAAATCTCCAAGACATCTGACTGAATCGAAACAAGCATCCTGCTGCTGCTGCTCAGGGTTCTCTCTGCCATCAGCCACAAGCATGAGAAATCATCACACAGCTGTGCACACTGAGATCTTCATAGGGCATGGGGTGGCTTACCATTAGCTTCACGCTATTTAATTTAGATAACATTCGAATCTAGAAAAAAATTATGACATCTTTTCATTGTCTGTAAACAAGAGACAATCAAAACCAGTGTGAAGGTATGAATGAGACCTGCTGTTTAAAAGGCGCGTTCCCTAGCAGAAATGAAATTACTGAATTTTTAGATTATCTAGGCATCCTAAAAAGATCCTGAATTTAAATGTCAACAGTTCACTGCATTTTAAAAGTTAAACTTCCCGCAGCTAAAGCGCTTTTTATTTGTCAACTGCATTTTCTTGCTGGTGAAAGCAGCGCATTGCTTGGTTCTCTCTCCGCCTCTCCTGTCTTTTCCGCACGCCTGAGACACCCTCTCATCCCTCCTCCTGTGCTCCTCATGCTGCTAACAAAAGTGTCGACTGACTGCTTGTCCCAACGCCCCCTTCTGATGGGTGGAGTTTTTCTTTCTTCCCTCTGATGTTCTGAGTCCTTCTCATATGGTCAGAACAATATTATGTCAGCATATTCTATCTATTTAATGATCTACATCATATATATAAGGATATCTAATAATATATATGCATATATATTAGGATTTCAAAAAGAATAATTTTTAGAAGCTGGATGGTAAGTGGAGTTGAAACTCAGTTCTGCCAGGAAGTCACTAATTCAGGGCAATGAAGAATGCATTCCTTGCCACTGAAACATGGAGAGTGAGGTGAACAGCTTGTCACCTGTGCCAAACTTTGACTAACACACAAGTGCATTTTAAGCCTCTGATGTACCTGAGCTGATTGTTATGGAAACACATAGTGGGTTTCTGTGTGCACAGCCTCGAATGGCCTGTTCAGGGTGGTGCTGTCTGAATCCCCCATGTGACCCAGGGAACCGTGCACCTGTCCCTCTTGCCCAGGCTTGCTCTTGCGTGAGGTCGCTCGGCAAAGGCATTTCTCTCTCTTGGTCTTCACACGCGATGTGGTGAGATTCACATGCGGCTTGTGTTTTATGATAGTGATTTGCTTTTCAAATCCATCTCTGTCGAGGTAGTCCATTTCTGCCTACGTATTAAGCCACAAACGTTTTTAAAATGACAGAAGTTAAAGTGCCGTAGGCATCCTCCTCATTTTTCAAAACCACATTTCATGTCATAGCACAAGTTTCTGAGTGAAATGGGGGAATCACTGGCAGGAGTCACCCAGCACGCTGTCCTTTATCCCCATGTGCTCCCAGATGAATACGGCGGGCGAGACCGTCTCTCTCCAGACTTCTATGAAGAGTCAGAGACCGACCCTGGTGCCGAGGAGCTGCCAGCCCGGATCTTTGTGGCTCTTTTCGACTACGACCCACTCACCATGTCCCCAAATCCAGATGCTGCGGAAGAGGAGCTTCCCTTTAAGGAAGGGCAGATCATCAAGGTGCGAGGGGCAGGGGTGCTGTGGGCTGTGCTGAGACCTGGGGTGGTTCTCGCTAAGGGGCTGCGGATACTGACAGTAGGGAACAAAGTCAGAGAGAAGTCAGCTGACCTTCTCCAAGAGACGACGTGCAGTGAAAATACAGCTGGGCACTGGGGGCCTTTAGGACATTAGGAGCCGACCTCATGAAAGTCCCGAGGTTGTCAGAGGAGCCCGCTGGTGGAGGGACAGCCGTGGAGTCCCGCCTCTGCCTTTAATGACTTCTGTGTCCTCACGGAAGTCACTTCTCTAGTGTGTGCTTCATCAGTGACATGGGAGCAATATCCTTCCCTCGTCTACCTGGTAGGATTGTGTGTACATGTGCACACGTGCACAAACACACACACACACTTAAACATGTCCTGTAAACTAAAGATTCTATTAGGTCCTACAGACTACCAATTTAGAAAGACGACTTTGACATATGTAAGACCTTAATTTCAGGAAGGAAGGAAGGAAGGAAGGAGCAAGGGAAGGGAGCCCTCACCAGCCAGAGGCTGGAGGTCACCATACCTTAGTTCCTAACACATCAGCCTTCTGCTCAGCGTAGAAGGAGCAGCCTGTGAGTTTGAAGTAGGAAAATGAGAAAAAGTGTGATGCTCAGGAGGAGAGGAAAAAGAGGGCCTTGAATCCTAAGCTTGCAAATTTATGAACAGGCACTGAAAACTCACATTTGAAAGTGGTTATATTTGCCCTATAAAATAGTTAGGGCTTATAAAGGATGGTGACGCTTACCCCGGAGAATAATATATTAAGAATCTCTCTGTTAGTCAAGATTTTTAACTTTTAGAATACCCAACACATGGCCCTGTCTTCTTAGGGAGGAACTCATTTGCTATGGACGGAAACACTTCTACTTGTCATCTAAGTAGCACTTCTACATGGGGTGGGGGTGTCAAGCACGCCTTTAACTCGTGTGGGCTCAAACACACACACTCATCCACGCAAAGCCATGGCCTCGCTTGCAGTCCCTATATGCTGGGAAGCCCAGCGGGTTGACCAAACGTGGAGGAAAAACTGATCTTAGACTTGTGGATTTACTGGGGAGGGCTACGTGCACACATCTACAGCACACAGGCAGGTGATTTATGGTATTCTTAAAGTATGTGTTTGGTTGTGTATGACTCTTCTGTAAACTGAACTGATGTATTTCTGAACCAACCAATCACAATGCCTGGACTTCTTCCTGTGGCTCTAGGTTTATGGTGATAAAGATGCTGATGGATTCTACCGTGGGGAAACCTGTGCCCGGCTTGGCCTTATTCCCTGTAACATGGTCTCTGAAATCCAAGCAGACGATGAGGAGATGATGGACCAGCTTCTTAGACAAGGCTTCCTCCCTCTGAACACACCTGTGGAGAAAATAGGTAAGAGATGGCCCTGCTCACCCCTGAACCCGCTGGCTGGGCTGGGCTGCCTTCCCCAGCGTTTCATAGCACAGAATGCCAGCCCAGAGCAGGAGGCAGCACTGAGCAGAATCCAGTCTGTGCCATTTAACTGTAAACAGAGGAATCTGAAAAGTAAACATCAACTTTTCTTGGGCAAAACCCACTCTGCAAGCCAGGGTTGTAATAGCCCTGCACGCTTTGTGGACACTATGTACCTAAATATTTATGAAAACATGGGTGATCTTCTGATGGAAGATGAGGTGCAGCCTTGCTTACTAAAGGTCTGTCCCATCTAGAAAATAAACAACTGCTTTCTGGTTGTTTTGGACTGAATATGTGTCCCCCCAAAATTCATGTGTTGAAACCTGATCCTCAGGGTGATGGTGATAAAGATGGGGCCTTTGGGAGGTGATTAGGTCAGGAACGCGGAGCATTTATAAATGGGATTACTGATCTTAAAAAAGAGACCCCAGAGAGCTCCCTCGCCCCTTCTGTCACATGAGGACTCAGCGAGCGGGCTCCCACCAGACACAGAATCTGCTGGTGCCCTGATCCTGGACTTCCAGCTTCCAGAACTGTGACAAATCAGTGTCTGTTGTGTACAATCCCCCCGACAGTGGTATTCTGTTATAGCAGCCGGAACAAACTAAGACATTGGTAATATACTTTGAACATTGCCTATCTATAATAAATCTCCAGGGATGAGGGGGTCATGCTGTGCTTTCCATTCTTCCGGTGAATTTTGCTCATCCAAAAGGCATAAAAGATGTTCACCCTTTAATCTGGGTAGGTACTGAACTCCCTCGCTTATCAAGAACCAATCTACAGGCTCCAACGACCCAACAGCAACACTGTTTTCAGTGAGTTTTAAGCAACACTACCTTTATGATATTTAATTTTCCCCAAATGCATGGAAAATCTACTCGACAAAAGGCCTCTGCTTTTTCTAAATAGCTGTAGAAAGTAAGATCAGTTTTATGTCATTCATATCTAAGGTTTTAATACTCAAAACATTATATTCACTTCCAAATCAGACTTCAAAGACAAAATTCAGTGGTTCAAAGAATATGCATAAAGATAAACACAAAATCAAATAAAATGTTTCAACCTTGTTGGTATTAATGAACTCATTGTCTCAAGTTAAAATCCACATCTAATCCTCAAGATTTCGTATGAATATTCGCCCCACCTTGAATCTATGAGACTGAAGATCTCTGGGCTCTTCGCACCATCAACTCCCTTTCACTTTTGATCTCCTTTCCTGAAGTCAACTATGACCATTGTGAAGAGGGGAAAGACCCAGAAAGCCTGGAAGAGGTCTGCTAAAAAACAGCAGCTTCATTTACATTATCGATTAGATTTAATATCTGTTTATTCTACTTGTTTTTCCAAACGTGACTAGTTAAGGGAACCCAGCTGAGATATCTACTTGTCCGCCTATTACTAGGAAATGTCATTCTTAATGGTGAAAGACTGAAAACTTTCCTCCTGAGACTGAGAGGAAGGCAGCCCTGTCTGCCCTCCCCACTCCGTTCCCACATCCCACCAGAGCTCCTGACCTGAGCTGTACCGTGAGAGAAAGGAAGAAACGGAATATAGATTAGAAAGGAGAAATTAAACTTGTTCTATTCACAGATGACATGAAAATCTACTTAGAAAATCCCAAAGAATCTATTTTAACAGTTCTTAGAATTAACAAGTGAGTTTAGCAAGATCAATGTATACAAAACCAATTGTATTTCCATATGTTAGCAATAAAAAGTTTGAAATTTAAATTTAAAAAATAATACTATTTACAATAACATGACAAAGATGTGAAATACTTAGGGTTAAATCTAACAAAATAGGTGCAGGATCTGAATGCTGAAAACTACAAAATACTGATGAAAGAAATCAACGAATTCCTAAATAAATAGAGATATCATGTTCGTGGACTTAATACTGTTAAGATGTCATATTTCTCCAAACTGACCTATAGATTCCATACAGTCCTAATCAAAGACTGTGCAGGGATTTATGTGGAATCAATAAGCTAAGTCTAAAGTTTGCACGAAAAAGCAAAGGAGCTAGAATTGCCAAAACAATTTCTACAAAAAAAACCCCCAAACATCGTAGTCTCATGTAACCTGATTTCAAGACTTCCTGTAAAGGTAAACTAAGCAAGACAAGGTGGTGGTAGAGAAAGGACAGACACCTAGGTCATCAGAACAGAATGGACTCCAGAAACAGACCCACACAGAGATGGCCGAGGGATTTTCCACAAAGGTGAAAAGGCAGTTCAGTGGAGAAGGGAAAGTCTTTTTAGTAATAGGTGCTGGACATCCTTATGGCAAAAATGAATCTCAAGCCACACGCTCACCCTGTTAAAAAATTAACTTACATGCCCAGACCTGGACCTGTGGCCAAGTGGTTAAAGTTCCATGCGCTCTGCTTCAGCAGCCTGGGTTCGTGGGTTTGGATCCAGGGCGCAGACCTACTCCACTCGTCAGCCATGCTGTGGAGGTGTCCCATATAAAAAAATAGAGGAAGATTGGCACAGATGTTAGCTCAGGGCTAATCTTCCTCAAGTAACAAAAAGAGGAGGATTGGCAGCAGATGTTAGCTTGAGGTGAACCTTCCTTAGGGGGAAAAAATTAACTCAAAATTGAACTTTGTCTTAAATATAAAACTAAGATGATAAAACTTCTAGAAGAGAACATAGGAGAAAACTTTGTGATGATCAGGCAAAGGTTTCTTTGATATGACACTGAAAATGTGACACATAAAAGAAAAACGATGTTTGACTTCATCAAAATTAAATACTTCTGAGCTTAGAAAGACACCATTGAGAGAATGAAAAGAGAAGCCACAGGCTAGCAGAAAATATTTGCAAGTAACTCAGCTGAAAGGGATTTGTATTTAGAATACACAAAGAACTTTCAAAACTCAAAAGAAAACAACCAACCAATAAAAATGTGGATGAAAGATTTGAAGAGATCCTTCACCAAAGAAGATATTTGGATGGCAAATAAGCCTACAGAAGATACTTCTTAACATCATCAGTGAAATACAAAGCAAAACCATGATGAGAAACCAATACACGCCCACTAGAATGGCTATAGTGCAAAAGACTGGCTGTACCAAGCATGGGCAAGAATGTGGAATGACTGGAACCACCATTTGCTGCTGGTGGGAGTGTAGAATGGTTCAACCACTATGCAAAACAGTTTCACAATTTCTTACAAAGTTAAACATGCACTTACAATACAATCCAACAATTCCATTCCTGTATCCTTACCCAAGAGAAATGAAAACTTACGCTCATACAAAAAACTATATGTGAGTGTTTACAGTGGCTTCACTAATAATCATCAATAATTGGAAACAACTCAAATGTCTTTCTACTGGTAAATGGACAAAATAATTGTGGTGCCTGCATACAATGGGAAACTACTCGCCAATAAAAAAGAACAGACTACTGAAGAAGGAATAATGTGACTGGATCTCAGACACACTGTCCAAATGAAAGAAGCCAGTCTTAAAAAGCTACATTCTCTGTGATTCCATTTAAATGATACCCTGGAAAAGGCAAAAGTATTCGGAGAGAGAACAGATCAGTGGTTGCCCCTGGCTGAGGTGACAACGAAGGAGCATGAAGGAATTTTGGGAGTTAATGGAAGGGTTCTATATCTTGATTGTTGTGGTGGTTATATGACCATATGGGTTTATCAAAACTTACAGAAGTGTACTCTAGAGTTACTTTGTAAGTTATACAGAATTTTATGTATTTATTTATACTGAATGTTATCCTAAGTTATACTTCAATACAGAGTACATGTGTATTGTTATTGCTACCTTCAGAAATTCGTATTTGTAACAGTCCTGGTGAAATTAGAAATCCTTAGAAGCACTGGAATTAACCTCTGGAATAATTCTCTACAGTCATGTGCCACTTAAAGACTAGGACACGTTCTGAGAGATGCGCCATTAGGCAAATTTGTCCTTGTGCAAACATCGTACAGTGCGCTTACACAAATCTGGATGGTACAGCCTACCAGCCACCTAGGCCCTCTGGTACTAACTTTATGGGGCCACCGTCATTTAATGTGGTCCGCTGTTGACCGAAACGTTGTGACGCGGCACGTGCCTGTGCACTGAAGCTCTGTTTCAGTCTCACATCTGCTGTCTGCGTGGAGCTCTTACACTCAGACAGTAACTAGAGGAATTCTCTCTGCACCCCCTTCTTGGGCTCTTGAGGATGCTGGGATAAGGCCCAGGTCACCGTCCGTGGCAGAACACGGCCAGGCGACAGGAGGGGACGTCCCAAGAGCATTCTCCAGAAGTGGCATCTTTTCAGTGACAGCTGTTAGAAGTACAGGGAAAGGACAGTGGGGAGGCTGTGTAAGAAGCCCCTGAGATGGGAGAGAAGGTAGCCCTTACAGACACACGGCCATGCCTCTGCTCTACAGAGAATTACACAGACAAGCATTTTTGAAAGTCTTTGTGGGGCTTCCTCAGAGCTATGGCCACAGCCTCCAACTGGCCCCACTTGGCCTCCCCAAGCCACATCTGCCCAGTGCTGTCCCAAATCGTTTAGATTTACTATTCCAGAGAATTCTCTGCTTCTTCTAAGTCTCCCTGGTTTAATAGACACACTGGAGAAAGGACAGTGTTCTTGCTACTATAAGGGGGACTGTCCTAGAGCTAAAATATAAGAGTAGGAAGCCCAAGGTGACTGACTTCAAAGTTGAAGCATTTGCCATCGCTAATGCCCATAAACATGAGACCCTTGAGGAGGGTGGTCGTCCCCGTTCCACTGGCCAAGTGCAACCTGGCTCCACAGCCATGGGGACCAGGAAGAGGGGGCACGGTTCACTTTGAAATAATTTCACAATGGCTTTCTTCTTCTCCTTGTGATTTAAACAGAGAGAAACAGAAGAAGTGGCAGGCAGCACTCAGTGTCGACCCGAAGAATGGTGGCCCTGTATGACTACGACCCGAGAGAAAGCTCGCCTAACATTGACGTTGAGGTACAAGCCAAATACCTTCTCACTACTGGCATGAAGCCACACCTGGTACCTTTACCTGCAGGGCTGCTGGTGAACGCCACGCTTAACCCCTTGACTGTAGCCTTCTCTGGAACCGTCCACAGAAGAGCTCCCAACCCTGTAAAAGGCCAACAGAACACTAGGTGGGCAGAAGAGAAGTAGTGAGCCTCATTGACATGCTCAGTGGCACGAGGGCTACTGACAAATCCTCATCCTTGTGGCCCAGGTTTCCCTGTACTGCCCCTGGAAGAGCAGTTTGGGATCCACATCTAGGGGTGATGGCCCAATTGGGTCATCCTGAAGGAGAAACAGAAGCCCACCACATGTGGTCAATGAACAAAGACAAAGCATTAAGCCCCACCCCCACGTTCAAGGCAAAGGAGAGAGAGGGTTACTCTCTGTACACACAGAGCATTAAGCCCCACCCCCACGTTCAAGGCAAAGGAGAGAGAGGGTTACTCTCTGTACACACAGCCTGGTGCGTCTTGGTGTCCTTGGCACATTACGAAAACTGGAAAGGATCTGCCTTCAGAAATGAAAGAGCTGGTTTTCAATCTGTGGAGCTACTTTCTTAGATGACTAGATGTATCTGAATCCACTACCCAGTATTTAAGTCACCAGCTCATGGTCCAGATTCAAACCTTAGTTATTCAAAGATTTCTGGACAGGCTTGATTTACATATGATGCCTGATGGTTCTTAGATATGAACTTTCTTCCCTCATTTTCATGTTTAGAGATAAAAATGCATATTTTTTTTTGTATCCTATACTATCTTCTATGTGCCTGTCTTTAGGTTGGTGCCTGGCATATAGTGGATACTTAATAAATGGAAATTTAGTTAATAATTGAGTAAAGATTTTTTACACTCAGTGAAAGAATATTTATATAACGGTCCTTTCACTGGAGAGAACATTTCCCTAATGTTCCAGGTTTTTAAGATTAACTATCTAATTTGAAAGGTGGACTTGCAGTATAACATGGTGATGATCTTGAATTCTGGCAGAGAATCAAAGCTCCACACCACTTTTCCTTTAGGCTGGCCTTGTTTTGGGGTGTAGTCACTTTCTAAGAAGCTATGAACAGAGACGTTTATTAGCTTTGTACCTTTCTTCCTTATTTCATTGAAAGAGTAAGTTAATATAACCAAAATAATAAAAAAAAAAGAAAGAACATGAGAAATCATGAATAAATTTTTTAAAAAACAACTACTTTGTACAGGAAGATACAATTAACTTTATATTCTATCTTTATAGGCTGAACTTACATTTTGCACGGGAGATATTATTACTGTTTTTGGTGAAATTGATGAAGATGGATTTTATTATGTAAGTTTTTGAAACATCAGGAAGCATCATTTCACTTTTTTTTTTTTTTTTTTTTTGCTTGTCTGTTCTTTCCCCTAAGATTAGGTATGAACTTTATACGGCTTGCTGAAAGTTTTGCCTAATTTGCTTGTCTCGCTTCACTGAGTTACATATAATATGGTGCTGTGAACTTCATCGTTCTGCTGACTTCGAAAGCCTCAAAACAAATTTATTCAGGAGTAGCCAAAAGAATTGCAATTCTGGATGTGCATGCTATGGCAAACCATAGGCAAATCCAGAAAACAAAGGAGGGGAGCTCCTTTTATAGAGGAAAGGGGGGAGAGGAGGAGGCTGTTAGAAAGGAAAGTTCATTGGGGGAGAGTAACGGTTCAGAGCGGCAATGACTTCTCATTGGCTGAATGGCGGTGTTTCTCTTCTGCTCTTGGTGGGTGAGGAGGAAAATCTTCCTTCAGTAGTAAATTCTGCCTCCTATAGAAGATGCAAGTGTCTGTCTTTTCCTGTTTGGTGTAATTGATGATGTGTGATAGGGTGTGAGAGCTCCCCCTACAGGCCTTCCTGACTCTAATTTACTTAAGGTTTCTTTCATTAATTTCCACAGTTCCTTCTTTTCCACTAGGGGTCTTTTTGATGTATATAAGCTGTAAACAAAGTGAAGGTATTCACATTCTTACATTTAAAAATTTCTGCAATCCAAACATTTACCAATTTCTGGATTATTTACTGCATAGGTGATAAAACACATTTTTCATTTAGGAAAAGGAAGAAATACAAATAAGCAAAATTAACTAATTAATGAATTAAAATCAACAGAGTTTAGGATTCCTTCCTGACCTCTCTCTTGAGCTGATGGCTGTCAGCAACATGGAATCCAGAATCCAGCCTTTGGGCGAGGCAGTCCCTGCTCAGGCCAGCCCCGGTGCCAGCCTCCTGCCTTTGCCTCTCTCGTGGAATACATCTCCCGATATTCCCTGAAGAGGGAAGGAATGTTGGTGGGGGGTCATCTCAGCATTTCTCCAGCTGGGTCACCTCCTGTGAGTGGCTGCCTCTCCCTGGCCAGATGCCCACAGGGCCACGAAGGAAGTGGCTGGCATGCCTGCCAGGTGGACACCCCTTGCAGTGGGGGGTGGGGAATGGGCATGTTGCATCAGTGTCCCCACCATCACCCACCTCTCATATCAGAATAGCTAAGAAACTACCAAGTCCTAGTGTGGTAGGTTTCCTTTGAGTCAAACAGATTTTATCACCTCAGGCACACATGGAATTCCGGGGCTCTCTTCTCTGTACAGTTTCTGATTATTAAGAGTATATACAGTTTTTAGTGGGGTTATTCATACTTTGTCCCTTATTTCTTTCTAGATCTTTCTTTCTAGATCAGATTGTAAAGGGTCTACGAATGGGGAAATGTCAAGATCAAGCTGTCTTTTAGAGAAAGTCATTCTGCCAAAGGTTTTGAAAGTGGACTGTTGAAGGGAGACGGGAATCCCAGGAGGGCAGGGGACAGGTGAGGGACACACTCCTGAGCTGAGATGGTCACAGAAGAAGGATGACAAAGGGAGCATCTATATTCTCCAGAGCTTGGATTAGTGAGGGTGAAGGTGTTGTTGAGAGGATCCCCGGGTTCTGCCTTGGTGATGGGTGGGTGTCCTTGTGAAAGAAGGGATAAGAACACAGTTGAGTGAAAATACAGTTTAGAAAATATTGAGCTTGAGGGGTATGAACAGGACACCTGAGCCTCTCCAAGATGGAATGGGGTTCATGCCAAAGGCGAGGTGCTGTAGATTTCTGGAAGATTCTCGTGACCTCTTCTGATGTAGCAGCTGCAGCAGTGGAGGCAACAGTGGTGTCAGGTGCACTTTGAGATTATGCTGTAATAGAACTGTGTGCAGAAGGCCAGAGGGAAAACAATAAATAGTGCCGGCGCTTCCATTCACTGCCCAGACCAGGGGCAGCCTGGAAGCCTGCATGTGCAAGACTGTGTGCATGCTGGCACAGGCCTCTTGCAATGGGAACATGGTGCCGATGGGGATTTGTACGCAAAGCTGTGCATTTTCACAGAACATAGTCCCCAAACACAAGCCAATGACTCCATCTGGTGCTCACCCAGAGAAATAGTGTTTTCTGATGCTGGAGGAAAAATCGGGCTGCTTTGGACTTATTGAGAGAGGTCTGGACTGGATAGAAATTCAAATGTCTTTGTGCATAGATGTTATTTGCAACCCTGGATGTGGAAGAAATCACCAGGGGACATATGCAACGATGTCCTAGAAAAGGTCTCTCAGTAACACCAACAGAGAAAACTAAGCCAATTGTTGGAGCCTGAGAAAGAAGAATTAGAGCAGCAGGTGCTCAGAGCGGAGTCTCCAAGGCCGGGGTGGGGTGAGGGGCGTGTGTGCACTGGACGTAGGAGGGACTATTGTACAGGAAGGCAGGAGGTCCCTAGGGCTGCCTCTTTTGTTTCAGTTAATTTTTAGTTTTAATTGTGGTAAAATACATATAACACAGAATTTGCCGTCTTAGTCATTTTTAAGTGAACAGTTCAGTGGCGTTAAGTACATTCACACTGTCGTGCAGCCATCACCACCATCCATCTCCAGAATCTTTTCATCTTGCAAAACTGAAACTCTGCCCCCATTGAACACTATTTACCCATTACCCCCTCCCCCAAGCCCCTGGCACCCACCCTTATACTTTCTGTCTCTATGAATCTGACCACTCTAAGTACCTCATGTAAATGGAATCATACAGCATGTGTCTTCTTATGACTGGTTTTTTTAACTTTTTATTAAGATTACGATAGTTTACAACCGTGTGAAATTTCAGTTGTACATTATTGTTTGTCAGTCGTGTTGTAGGTGCACCACTTCACCCTTTGTGCCTGCCCCCACACCCCTCCCCTTTTCCCCTGGTATCCACTAATCTGTTCTCTTTGTCTACATGTTTAACTTCCACATATGAGTGGATGACTGGCTTTTTTAACTGAGCATCATGTTCTCAAGGTTCATCCATGTTGTAGCCTATGTCAGGCCCCCTTTTAAGACCAAACAATACTCCATTGTGTGTATAGACCACATTTTGTGTATCCATTCATCCATCAATGGATACATGGGTTGCTTCCACCTCTTGGCTATTGTGAATAACGCTGCTGTGAACATGGGTGTGCAAATATCTCTTTGAGACTCTGCTTTCAATTCTTTTGGGTATATCCACAGAAGAGGAATTGCTGAATCATATAATTCTAATTCTTTGAGGAACTGCCACTGTTTTTCCCATAGTGGCTACACTATTTTACATTCCCACCAGCAGTGCACAAGGATTTCAATTTCTCCATATCTTCACTAACACTATTTTGTTTAAAAATTTATTTTTTTAATTTTATAGCAACCAACCTAACGGATGTGAGGTGGTATCGGTTTACACTTTCCTAACGTTTAGTAATGTCGAGCATCTTTTCACATGCTTGTTAGCCATTCCTATGTCTTATTTGGAGAAATATCTATTCAAGTCCTTTGCCCATTTTTTAATTGCATTTTTTTTGTTGAGTTTTAGGAGTTCTTAATATATTCTGGATATTAACCCCTTGTTAGATATATGACTTACAAATATTTTCTCCCATTCCATAGGTTTCCTTTTCAGCCTTGATTGTGTCCTTGGATGCAGTTTTTAATTTTGATGTCATGGGCGGCTGCTTTCATATTGTCACTTCCTAGACCTTGTGAACAGAGAAACAGACTCCCATGTGGTCTGGGGCCAGCCAAGTTTGGACTTGGCTTTGGGCACTTGTGGTGCAGTTAGCATTGGGGTGGGGAGAAGTGACTTGGTGGGCTGTGACCCACTCAGTGCAGATATCCAGTGAGCAGTTGGACCTATGGATGGTGACCTTAACTATGTACATGCATGGATATATATATGAGTAGAAAGGTCTGGAAGGATATAAACCAACCTCAAGCAGTAATCTCTGAGGAGCTGTCAAGAGACACTTCCATTTTCCCCATTTTGTTTGAATTTTTATAATGAGAATGTAGTCATGCATAGGAAAGATGAAAAATATAAGGTTAAAAAGACAGGTCCTCTCAAACTTGCCTGCATACTAGATCACATTAGATCACCGCCCCCCTGCTCAAGATAGGTTGGATCAGTCTGGGTTGATGTGCCTGAGTAATGGGCTTTTACAAGTTCCCTAGGGATTCTGAGGCCAACCAGGGTTGGAAAACACTAACTGAGATGATCCCAAGGAGGTTCCTAAACATGCCTGATCCCAAGAATCACCTAGGCCCCTTGGCCAAAACACAGATTCTTCATCTCAGCCCCAGACAGGCCCAATCAAGTCCTCAGGAGAGGGGCCGGGGCCTTGCCCTTGAAACATGTCTCCAGTGTCATTCTGTGATGGAGGTAGTTTGGACACATTAGAGTCCCTTTGAGTTCTACCACTTTGGAACCAGAGAAAACTCACCATGCATCTCTGCTCTGAGCTACATTCCTTCAGCTAAAGCAAGAAGTGAGTTTTTGGAAAGACAGAGTAAATCGTTCTTCTGGCTCATCCCTGTGTTTTTAGGGGGAGCTTAATGGGCAGAAAGGCCTTGTACCTTCAAACTTCCTGGAAGAAGTGCCTGATGATGTAGAAGTCTATCTTTCTGACGCACCGTCCCACTACTCACAAGACACGCCGATGCGCTCAAAAGCAAAAAGGGTAAGCAGACATGTTCATTGTTCTTAACTTCTGTCCCACTCTGCCATAGATGGTCTAATTCAGTTTTTGCATTGATATTTTTATATCTTGGGCCGAACAGCATATACCCTGATTTTTTTTCTCTGCCCTTCCATGGGGGTTGTGCCTAAAAATTCTGAATTCTAAATCTTAAGTTTATTTATCCACAAAAAATGACCCTCCCAATTCTAACCAATCTATCTTTCATCACAAAGGAACTTCCCATCCGACATTATAGATGCACATTCCTGCTTGATTAAGAGTGAAAGGGGATGGCCAGTCCTCAGATTCGGTGGGCAATAATGCTCATTTGCCCTGTCAGGATTTTAGTCCTCTTACCAAAGATCAAAGAGCTTCTCAAGCATATTTAACTATTAGATTACATTCATGTTTAGTGTCTCATTTTTATTTTATTTCATCACTGCGAGTTTTTATATATTATATTTTTATATATATATTTTTATTTCTTTGCTCATCTGCTTGGAAACAGAAGAAGAGTGTTCATTTCACACCTTAATCAGGCAATGTAGCCTTCACGTAAGTGAGCAACTGAAGATACCTATAAAGATACCAACTTAACTACCTTAGACGGACTAATGCGGTAGATTTAAGGCTTCACTGTGGGGTGAAAAGAAAAGAAAAAAAACAAGAAATATGTCTCAAAAAGTCATTGGACCTAAAGTCTCAGTTGTAAAGCAACTGAATTTGTAGTGAAATAGATCATCTTTCGTAATCGTTTCCTACTAGTGACATTAAGACTATTTGGAAGGCCAACATTTGGAACATATTTCTTCACAGGCTAATCGTTTGTTTACATGGAGAGTGTTCCAATGTCTACTCCCACTGAAAGCTGCATATTGCATTGTTAGCCACTCTTGGAAAAAGCACAAGCTAACAAATATGTTTACTATCGGAAATTTTACTTTAAGAAAACATTACTCAAGATCAAGCCGATAAGTCATGAACACAAGGTGATGTTGGCTATGAATACTCCACACGCTGGCTTGAGTACTAGGCGTGTTTTCCTTAAGTAACTGTACCTCTATCTTAGGAGAGAGCTTACACTTCTCCTCAAAGCACAAATAAGTGTTCTGAACACACACGTTTGGTGAAAGACTGATTTGTTGGTATACCAATGCAATACTAAGTTTCATGAAACATGCAGCTCAAATGATTGCATCAGATGGAATAGATGGTATCTTCAGGGGTACTTTGGGATGCTTTACTAGGTGTTTTCATTAGAATTAGACCTTGATTTTAAATCCAAGCAAGCTTGAAGCCCCTTGGCTTATATCATTTGCCTGCTGAATAATGAACACTCGTATTAGGAAGAGTTTGCTCTGGTGAGGTAAGGGAGCGAGAGAAGAGATGAGATTTTCTAATCTTAGGCACGTATCCAACATGAGCGAGGCAGATTTGCCATGCGCCATCTTGGAATACAGCGCTGCTCCTGTGAAGCACTGTTGACTAAGCACTGGTACTGAAATACTACCATGTGCTATACTGAGTAAAATTCTTCTTCAATTACTTGGAAATTATGAAAGCACATGATAAGGGCCTTTAAGCTTTCTTTGATTGTAATTAAGGTTCATTTTAGTTTTTTTTCTTTCAACCGGTGTGCCATCTCCAATGTCCCTATAGTATATCAACCCACGAATGCACTCAACAGTATCAGGATTTTATAGACCCAAGGAGTTTTCAAATACAACAAAATTTCCTTTAAGAACTTTTGCTTTTAAGATTATTGATGGGTACTCGGCCAATTTTACTATCAACCTAATTTAAAATAACTTTTTTCCCCTACTTTTGGTCTTGATTTACAAGGCAAATTATTCACTAGCTTTGTTTTGCCAAAGCAATGGCCGCCCCCTCCCCTGAAGACAAAGACACTGAAAACCAAACATTGATGGCTAGACCCTCTGTCTTAGATAAGCTGTGGGCAAGGGTGTTTGCTTCTCATGGCATACTTTAAAACTTGAAAGAATTGAACCCCTACTTTCCCTTTCCTGGTGGGAGACGGGGCAATAGGATGTTACCGAGTGGATTGATGTTGTTGGCGCTCACGCACTCAATAAACTGTCACAATGTACCTACTAGGTTCCTCCTGAGGGTTCAGGTACAGCAAGGAGAGCGCCATCCCCCACAGTCCATCTCCATTCGGGGTCACCTACGTCATCTATGGGTACTGGTAGTCCTGGGAGAGGCAGGGAAATGTCCTCGAAAAAGAAAAAGGGGCTGCTTTCCAGAGGCAAGAAACTGCTGAAAAAGCTGGGTGCAGTGAAATGATTCATGTGCTTCTGGACAATTTCCAAATCTATGTAATTTTCTTTAATTCCAAACTAGGGCTTTCATGACTCAAGTACTTCCTAAAAAAACCAATCTTCTCCCCTGACACCAGTAGAGAAATGCTCTTTGCACTACCATCCACTTTAAACCAACCGCCAGGACAAAGAGCGGCTGTTACTCTCTCTCCCAGCCTCCGTGCCAATCTGCTCTTATTGCCCGAGGTCTGACGGGAGGTGAGGGTATCTCATGAACACACAGGGGGCCAGTAGCTCTTGGTAGCTCACTCCCTCCCTGTGATTCCAGTCTTTGTGCATTTGTCATCTGCCCTTAAAGGAATGATTTTGACCTCTCTCCCTTTTCAAAATGCTTGCCTCATGATACATAACTCTCACTTTAACTCTGGTCTTGAAATTCCTAGTTTAATCGCCTTGATGTTCTGCCTTATAAATGCACAATGATTTGTACTGTTGAAATAAAAACCGCAGTGTACACTTTGTATGTGTTGTGCATTCAGTGCTCTCATCCTCACAGACACAGGGGTTTGAAATCAAGTTTTACAGGCTGTGCATTTTAAGATACTGGTTTTTCGTCTTTCAAAGCAAGCCAGGCAACACACAGAAAATGTTTACTTACTCAAATCTTTCAAAAGAGGGGAGAGAAAGTAACTTTGTTTGGTAAAGTACCACTCCTCCAACCTGCCAGAAAGCTACTATTCATTGCTTTTAGTGTTACATTTTTTGGCATATGGATTTATGTTACATTATTTGTCAAAATGCCAAACATAAACACAGCAGTGAACAGGACACATGTAAAGTAATCCACATAATGCATAAGCCACACCCAAAACATCCTAAATTTAAGTCTATCCAAAATGATTCCACACCAATCTTCATCATTGGCACTTGAACAAAAGATTTACAAAGTTGCTGGCAGATGTATTTGATGGTTACTATTTTGTAATTCTTGTCCACTTGTAAATTGTTTTTACTCTTTATACATACTTTTCAGACTGCCTTTCTTTTGTAATTTATGGAAGGTTTATAAATGAATGACAAAGCTTTCCCCATTGTGTCTTCAAGAAATATACTGTAAATTGTAATATAACAGTATGTGGTAGATTTATTAAAAAGAAATTACTCCATGTGTGGTTAAGTACTGTGTGGGTGTGTGCATGTGTACAGTTAGTATAAAATATTTTATAGAAATAAAATTTGTTATTTTATACAATGCCATTTATTCTGTATTTTTGTTTTAGATACTTTTTATCATAGCAATATAACTGAATTCCTTTCTCCTGTACGTCCAAGAAAAACTATAACCTTATCTTTTCTGGCACTACTTTTTTCCTAAAGTAATTCTGACCCATGTTTTGGGAGTCATTTACAAAGTGCTGTCACACTTACATTGTTGGTGGCAATCCATCCAGTGACAAGCAAAAGGTAATTAACATTGAGGCAGTATTTCTTGTGTATGAGAAATATGCATGTACAACAAAGACTTCCAGAATGAATTCAAGCTGTATTTGTAATATTTCCCTTTGGCAAACTTCAGAATTCAAATGATCTGAAGAAAGAGGTACACCAACTAAATACAGTAAGACACAACTTAACTTCTCAAACAAAATTTAAGAATTTTCCTAAAAGTCTTAATCATTTTAAAAGTCTCCAAATAACAGGGTTTATTCTAATTAAGTAAAACCGACGAGCTTATGGCAAGATGAAAATATAATTCAAACGTGTAACTTCATGAAACTATATATATACGAGTATATAACTGCTAGCACAATATTAGTCATGTTGAATTGTGTTTTCAATTACTGCATTTACAAAATGAAGGACTGACGACAGAGAGAAATACTGCATGATCTCCCTTACACGTGGGATCTAAAATAGTCAGACTCACAGAAGCAGAGTAGGACGGTGGTTTCCAGGGGCTGGGGGGAGGGAAAATGGGGAGATGCTGATCAAAGGTACACAGTTTTAGTTACGCAAGATGAATAACTGTAGAGATCTAATGTAAAAAACCCCTGAAATTCTAGATTAAATGGAATGTTTTAAATTAAAAAAAATCCAGTTTAAGAAATACTGATATAAAAAATTAAAGTCTACACTACAGTGTGAATGTATTTAATGCCACTACACACTTAAAAATGGTTGAAATAGTTAATTTTACATTACATATACTTTACCACAATAAAAAAAATGATGCCAATTTCTCAAAAAAAATCAACAAAAGTAGCTGGGACTAATGTTTCCCTAAATCTTTTGAGAGTATTTACAAATTTCCCAAAATATGAAAATGTAGGCAAACCCAAAGCAATAAAGTGCTGGACTTAGCTTTGGTGAATACTACCCAACATTTAAGGAATATATAATGTTGACTGTATACAAATTCTTGCAGACAAGAAAGAAGAAAGAAAAATGCCCAAACTCATGAGGCCAGCATTATGCTGATACCAAAACTAGAAAAAGACATTACAAGAAAACTAAAGACCAATAGCATCATGATCATAAATTTTTTAAAAAGTCCTTAACAAAATATTAGCAGACTGAATCCAGGAATACATAAAAAGGACGATACACTACGCCCAACTGTGGTTCATCCCAGGAATGAAGGTTGGTTTCATATTCTGAAGAAAAGTAACGTATTTTACTGTATTAACAGAACAAAAGAGAAAAGCTATCCAATCTTTCCAATAGATGCAGGAAAAGCATTGGACAAAATTCCACACCTGTTCATAAAACGAGGAATTTATCTCAACTTGATAAAGGTAACAGCCAACACTACACTTAACGGTGAAAAACTGACCACTTACCCCTTCCATCAGAGACAGTGCTGGGTGTCCATTTGACTACTTGTATTCAAAACTGTACAGAGTCTTCCAGACAGCGCAGTAAGGAAAGAAAAGGAAGTAAGAGTCATACACTTCGGAAAAGAAGAAGCAAATAATCTTTATTTGCCAATGACATGATTGTGTACATAGAAAATGCTAAGGGATCGACAAAATGCTATTAGAACTGATAAGTGAATTTGGCAGATGATGGGGTACAAGACCAACATACAAAAATCGATTGTATCTCCACAAAACAGCAGGGAACAATGAGAAAGAGAAACTAAAATATAGATATAAATGATATAACAACAAATAAAAATATAATATGTAATTAGTTATATTAGCATCAAAAACATGAAATAGGGATAAATTTAACAAAATATGTGCAAGATCTGTATACTGAAAAAAATAAAACATTGCTTAGAGACTATAAAGGCACCTAAATAGAGATATATAATATGCTCATGCTTTGAAAGATATAGTATTGTTAAACTGCTAATTTTCCCCAAGTAGATCAATGATTCAGTGAAATTCCGGTCAAAATCCCAGCAGGCTTTTCCTAGAAATTGACAAGCTGATTAAAAAAATTATAGAGAAATGCAAATAATCTAGACTAGTCAAAACAATTCTGAAAAAGATGAACAAAGTTGAAAGACTCACATTACCTGATTTTGAGACTTATTATAAAGCTAAAGTAATCAAGGCAGTGTTACTTTTGTGTAAAATAGAGACACATAAATCAATGTAACAAACCAGAGAATCTAGAAATAGATGCATAGATATACGGTAGCTTCATTTTCGACAAAGGTGTCAGGGTGATTCAATGGGGGGAATATAGATAGTCTTTTCTAGAAATGTTGCAGAAAGGACGGAGTGTTTCTGGGGTGGGGGGGCGGGGGGAATTGACCCTGGTATCTCATACGATACACAAAAGTTAATGCAAAACAGATCATAGTCCTAAAATGAAAAACTTCAGACTATAAAATTTATACAAGAAAACATAGAGAGATTTGGCTAGAAAGATGTCTTGTATGGGACACAAAAAGCACAAACTATAAGAGAAAAAATCTGATAACTGGATTTTGTCCAATTTAAAAATGACTTCTCTTCAAATGATGCTTAAGAAAGCAAAACAGCAGCCAGAAACTGGGAGGAGACATTCATAATGCAAATATCTGACAAAAGATTTCTATTCAAAATATATAAAGAACTTTTAAAATTCAATAAGACCAACGAATTTAAAAAAAGTGCAAAAGATCTGAACAGACACTTCATAAAAGATGTACAATATACACACAAAAAGATGCTCAATTTCATTAGCAGGGAAATGCAAATAATAGCCCAAATAAGATAACATTATACACCCACTAGAATGACTAAAATTAAACAGACACATCATCAAATAGTGGTGAGAATGTGGAGCAACTGGAATTCTCATGCATTGCACGGGGGAATTGAAAGGAGGACAGTCATTTTGGTAATAGCACATCAGCTTAATATAAAATCAGAAAGCGTATATAGATCTGGCAATTCCAGGTCTATGTATTTACCCAAGAGAAATAAAAATACATGTCCACACAAAGGCTTGAACAGAATTTTTTAGTTCACTTAAATAGCCAAAAAATAGGAAATATCCAAAATCTCCATCTACTGATGGTGAATAAACAATTTGAGATATAACAATACAGTGCAATATTGCTTAGCAACCACTTACATAGACAGTAACATGGATTAATCTTTAAAACACTAACACGAGCAAAAGAAGCCAGAAACAAAGGAGCACATACTATGTGATTCCATTTACATGGAATTCTAGAGCAGATGAAAGGCAGATCATTGGTTGCTTGGGGTCAAGGTGGGAAGGATTGTTGGCAAAGGGACAAGAAGGAACCTTTTGTGGGAGGATTTTTCTAAATGCTGATAGTGGTAGAGATACAGGACTATATAAATTTGACAAAACTCATCAAATTGGATTCACTTATATGTAAATTATAGCTCAATTAAAAAGCTGAGTTACAATAATGGCACATAAGGTGGGTAGGAGGGAATGGAATTAAAGTGTTCAAAGATTCTCGCACTGTCCAGAAATAAAGTATATATATTACCCCATCCCCCAACTTCACAGGACCCTGGGGCCAGATGGGAAGGGGTTGGCTGTTAACAAAAGGTGAAAGCACACAAATTCCTAAGAGAGATGTTTTGTGACCCAGGAACGACCCTCTGTGGCCTGGCTGCTTCCTGGGCAGGTGCAGTCTCCACAGGTCCCAGGACTAGGGCCAAATGCCTTCTGTGCTACAGCAACCCTGGCCACGCCACAGCTGAGGCCATACAGCCCCCTCTGAAGAGCTCTTTCCAGCTTGTCAAGGCCACCCCTCATGACACCTCTGCACTGGACTTAGGCCAGGTGGGTGGGGAGCATGGGCAGGAATGGACTGGGCTGGGCCTACTTTTCCAGGTGCCCATGAAGAAAACAATGCAATGGAGCAGAACTCCTGGTGCTGAGGTGTGGCCAGAGGCTGGGACTTAGGACCACATTTCTCGGAGGCCTGAATGGTTGTTGCCCACAGCGATGGTTTCACCTCTCTGCCTGATATAATTTTATCCTGGCTGTTGCCAGCCCTGGGAAGATTTCTGAGTGTACTCACGTCCAGGTCTCAAGCCAAGATTCTCACCTGACAACTGGGAGGGGCACAGCCAGTAGTTTTTCAAGCCCTCTGGTGACAAAAATGTACCGCCAGGGTTGAGAACCACTGTGGAGAAGAGATTATCGCTCAACTTCAATGTGCATACAGGGGCTGGCTGACTTAAGGGTTGCATTACTTATTTATCCGCTCAACAAATATTTCAGAGCCTGCCATGTGCCAGGCA